GGTTAAGTGGCAGCCTCAAACCTGTACAATGATCAGAAAACACAGACACTTCATCAAGACTGGTTGCTGCCCTTGACAGATGAAGAGAGACGTCGGGCCAAATCCCAATCCTCAGTGTGACAGTTAACATTACACTATAATTGTTGGATACAACAACCAACGTGGAAAACTGCAACAGGCAAACTTCAGCTCCAGCTGCACCACCGTGGTGGACGCAGTACAAGAGAAAAATTAAAAATATCTGCGGAAACTATTGTCACAAGGATTCTCTGTTCCTCTGAGTGCATGTAGGTTCATCATGCTTGGGATATTGCAGTGGATCCACTAATAAAATTTGAAACCTATAAAAGCAGCACTGCTCCTACAGTATACCCACACATTTAGGTCACTGCAGAGATTAACAGCCACGCGTCCTCTTGTGGATTGTTGTAATGGAGATGGAGAGAGAGGGAAATGGAGGAGAGCGAGCAGCAGAGGGAAAGGCAGACAGGGAAGGATACTGCGAATCTTATGGGAGAAGTGAAGGAGAGAAGTGAAGGTGAGGAAGAACACAGAGAAGGGATATGATGAGAGGGAGATACAAACATCAGTTTGGACTCAATGAGACACTAAGTAAGGTAGAAAGAAGGACAGCGAAGCGAGAGAGCAGTAGAGCGCTGGTGTCCCTCAGCCTCGGTTGTACCTGTGCTGCTGTGTTCCTTCCATGCATCATCCTGAGAGCAGCATGTCTGCTCCAGCCCCCAAGGAGATTAATTAGCAGCCTCAGCAATCGGAGGAGCTGCTGAGATAGGCACCCAACTCAACACAGAAGACAAATTACCTCGGCTGAAAGCTCAAAGTTCAGCTATTTTACCACATACAAAACAGTCTGAGGACTTCGGAGGTCCAGCACTACGTCAGTGCCTGGTGTAGATGAGAGAGCAGTGAGAGAGGAGGGGGCAGCCAGAGCATTGTTCTCTCCTCTATACATGTGGATATTTTTGCATGAATAAAACATTTACCTCTTAGTAAAGTGCTCTCTCTGTTTATTGGTAAAACAGAGAGAGCCTGGAGACATATTACTTGTCAGAAAATGCTTAATATTTTAATTCTGAATGTATGAAACAGCAGCACAGCATAGTGTATGCACTGTATAAACAGTTACCTAGAAATGTGACTGAGGTGTTAGGTCGTGCATCAGCGCTTAATCAAATGCAGTGTCATATATGCTATGGCATAATGCAACGCCAACACTTCAGAACAGTGCTGGGAAAAAACAAGTGATTAAAGTATCACATCCATCACAATGGTGAGTTTCTCTCAGGGTCAGGTAGAGAAAAGAAGGACGAAAGAACAATTACTGTTGAATACTCAAGGCTGCATCCAGGGAACCAGGAAGCTAGATGTTACTGACAATGTATTATACCACATACTCAGAATCCTCCCCACTGATTCCATCTTTCTCTTATTTCTATATCACTGCAGGCAGTCTCGCCTGTTTTTGCCTATTAAGGCCCAATTTTCTGTGTTTCCTGCACTGTTCACCTCCTCAGCCTTAATAGTCAGAAGCTGGTGCTGAGCTGTAAAGATTGCTGTTGATTATGTTTCTGGGACACCATCCAGACTCTTAGACTGGGGCCATTATGGGCTAAAACTACTGAAACTGATTGTCCGGCTGATGCTACCGGCTGTAGAAATATTGTAGAAGAAAATTGCTTAATATTTCTTCAGTGTTGTGAAAGAGAGACAGTGAAGAGAAACTTCACTGGACTGAAGGAGCTCTTGATGTGCAAACTGGTCAGAGTGGAAAGAAAATTAAGGGAACTCAAATAATCCTGAATAATTCACATTATGGCATGGACCAGAGAGCTCCACACAGCGCAGAGCGGGAAGCTCATTTTTAAGTTTGGCTGAATGCGCACATACCAAATCCCTCTCTGCAGTACAGTTCCAGAAAGCTGCTAGAAGAGGTCAAAGAATCATCTTGTCCTGAGCAAATGGCCTTAAAAATACTGTGGCATTTTGCACAATACTGCACACTGTTAAAGGCACAATGCTGTGGAGTGGAGAGGGACTAATGGTGCATCTGCAGCGGTGGAGCAATGTCTTCAGAAACATGTTCCCATCTTTTTCAAATGGCATATGGATGCCAATGCAAAGTATACAGGGCAGTAATACATCATTTGCAATGTTTTAGGTAGGATATGGAATAAGGATGCAAACAGTATTTGTGTGTGTGATTCACAGTAAATCTGAACAGAAGGTCAGTTCTGTAAACTGCTGACAACATCTTCATCAGCATGTTTCTTTATGACAGCCTCTCCATGGAGAATATGTAGCACAGGCTGTAAATGCACTGGAATTAATAAATAGAAAAAACTGGTATTTTTTTCAGATCCCAATCACAAGGGAAATATACAAAGACGTGCAGATAAATGCATGGACATTCATTGATTTTCAATGAGCTGAATGGTTTCAGCAGGGTCAGGCTGTGTAGCAGCTGTTTGGTTTGGGGTGTACTGGGAATAAATTGCTCTCCGCTGAGCTTAAAACATAATGTACCACTAGATGTATCAGCTAATGATGACAAGTTTAACAACAATACTGCCCCTAAATGAGGACACGCATAACCTTTGTTTTTCTAAAATAGTACAAGTCAAACTCAGAGTCAGTATAAATTCTCAAAAGAACTCTCTGTGAAACTCTTGTTTCTTGGCAACCTCATTGCTATTAATTAGATTTTTTCTTGAACATATGGTTGCTCTCTTTATCACAGGTGTGTTTAAGCGCTTTGCCTTGTGCTGAACTGCCTCATTAGACCACGTCCTCTTGTTTTGTTTATCATGGACTCAATAATGAATCATGCACATGTCCTGGTATCGTTTTACCGTGCACTGCTAGATGTTCCCTGCAGGACGCCTTGCTGAATGCACGAAGGTATGTACGAAGCCACGTACCGTGAAGTCTGTTCTGTCTTGTCCATTGTTATTGCTCTGTGCTGCCCCGTTGCACTCAGTGTCTTGTACTTATGAACTTATGTGCAAAGTACGCTGCCTTCGTCACAGCTAGCCAAACATATATTCAGACAAAGTGATACATTTGTATTTCCTGAAAAATCGGGGGCCTTCCATGGAGGACTGAGAGGACAAAACCAGCACTTCAAACCAAGATCTGCAAACTGTGTACACACTACTCATGACGGCCACCTGGGAGCACATCCATTTCCATCGAACCAACCTGTGTTTGTCAAAGCCAGAGACGTGCTCCTTGGCTGATCTGCCCCATCCCCCCACCAGCATTTGGCAGTGCACACAAACCGCCGAGCAGCCTCTTAAAGTCGACCGTCCTTTGAATGCACCCTTTTAGCAGGCGATGAGCCTCTCAGGATAGTGCACAACAAAGTAGGGCAGAAGGCAGCTTGGCAGTGCTGGTGCTGGTGCAGAACCAAAGACAGATCTCAAATACTGAAACACTCTCACAAGCCCCATCTGATGCACTCAGAAGCACTGAGTGAAATATTGATGGCTCTAGGAGATACATGTTGCCCAGAGTGTGCTGTGTCTGCATGGGGAACAGTGTGTGCATGTGTGTGTGACTTTGTTCCTGTGATTGTGTTAATGTGGGTATCCTAAAATAAAAATCTGAACAAATGTCAACTGGTTTTTGTCTGTTCCCAAAAGTAAACAGAGTAGTGATCTAACTCAGCAACATAACCATCATTAATAGTCAACAACTTGACATGGAGAACTGCTTCATGACAGTCACTTCTATCTTCCAACATCCATATTTTTAACAAAGCCTTATTTCAATGCAGCGAAAGTTACTGATTGGCACAGTGACATGATTAATAATTAGTAGAAATTATTCACTCGCAGTAAGGAGGTAGCAGCCCATGTGCCAATCAAATCACGAGCCGTGGGGGGGGGGGGGGGGGGGGGGGGGTAGTGCATTGCCACGTGAGCTCCCTCCACCCTCACTCATCTCACCATTCATCCCTTTCTACATGTACCTCTCCATCCCTCGGCCATGCTATCTAGTCAGATCTGGACAGAAAGTGCTGATGGGTAGAGGTGATTATTGACCACTTTAAGGTTGAATAGACGAGATGAATAGGCACCTCACATGAACAGACCAGAACTCAATCTGTTGGCCGGAGACATCACTGCACACCACCTGCTAAGCTGTTTTCACACTGTCTGGCTCCAGCTAAAGCAGCTCAATCCCTCTCAAATGGTTATTGAGCACTTTCAGGAAGAAAGTAGGATAGAAGAAAAGAAAAAAAACCACAGAGGAGAGAAGAGAAGTAATAGCCCCATGCTCTGCAAAATGTCACAAAATCTTTTCCACTACAGAAAAACACATACTCCTGGATTCAGCTGAAGGACAATAGATTTGAAAACACCAATGCAACACACCCCTTCTCTTCCATATCTTGCATGTGCACACACTCTCACATGCACTCAAAGAAACACAAACATCTGCAGACGCCCACAGTTAGAAGTAGCGATTCACACCCGCAAATCATCACAGGCAGGAGAATATTACAACATGAGAAAGGTGACAAAACGTGGCCTGCTCCAAGCAGCTGAGGTCACCAGTGGCAGAAATGCAAAGCTATTACAGCAATAGCACATTTTCTAAATGAAATGACAAATTATTACAGCAGAAGCACAATAAATATCAGCGTTACACATGAAAACGTGAAACAGTGGTGTAATAGAAAAGGGAAGAAAACGGGGAGGTAGACAGAGAAAGAGGGATTTCCAGGAAAGTTGTTACCTGGAAAAAAAAGAGAGAAAAAGGTGTGAGAAAAAGTTGTGCTGTTGTCTTCACCTCTGCAGAATCCAGGGTCCCTTCTAGTTAAAAAACAAAGTGGGGAAAAGGAAGAACTGGAGAAGAGAGAGCAGTGACATTAGAGCTCAACATTCAGAGAAACCCACACAGACACAACAAGAGGCCACGGGACAGATGCACATATGAACATAGACACAGGACACTGGCTGTGCACTTGGATGCCCTACCTGTTTGGCTGAGCTGAGAGGTGCTACGGCTCTTGCGCGACATGCCAACCATGGCCTGCATTTTGGCACCAATGCTGGAGCGCCTCTTCTTGTCGTCAGTGCCTACCGTGCCAACCGCCGTGTCCGACTGGCTGCCGTCCGTCTTCTCCAGGTTACACATGTCGCCGCTGATGCTTGTGCTCTTGGTAATGTTCACCCCGCCTGACGAGCCCATCTGCCTGTTTTTCATTTTGGATGCAAAGTCACTGTCAGCCACCACCATTGACAGGGGGGGCAGGCGAGGACAGAGCAGAGGAGGACAGGGCGGAGGAGAGAGGAGGCCGAGGGGATGTGAAAGGAGAAGGTGATGGAGGAAGAAACAGGAGGAGAGGAGGAGGCAAGGAGAGAGGACAGCAGAGAGGACAGGAGGTGACAAGGTGTGGAGTGAAAAGGAGAAAAGGACAGAGTTCAGGTACAGGAGTTCATGACAGTATATTACAGTATAGTTGAGTTTAGGGTTTAAAGTGGATGTGCTGTTCATCCTAAACGATTGTCTGTGCATTGAAAGATCAGCCATTATATTTTCTACTGTATGTATGTTATGTATCTAAATACTTGAGTACTGCTACGTTGTAAGTCTTTTTTTTATTTTTGGTCACTTTGAGCTGTAGGAGCTGCTTCTTTTCTATTTCTATTCTCACTCAAAGTAAGTGAACACTTGAACCAGGCTGTGACTCCACTGATCATTCGAATCATTCAAGGCCTTTTTGTGACAGTTTGAAACGAAAAGAGTTATCAGCAGCAGGATTTTGACCATGATTAGCGGTTAGTGCTCAGTCTAGACATTTAATAAGTTGTTTTTGTTAGGATTTCATATTTTCAGTAGCTTTACTGCAGTAACATGTTTCTGTTTTCTAGTAAACAAATAAGATTTCTGTTTGTATTTGGTGTTTCTCATCAAAACACACAGCATGAGGTCTAACAGATGAGTGGAGTGCATTGCACTTCCTCATAAAACATTTGCAAGAATAATCTTCTTGAGTGCTGAAATCCATCATTGTTTACGTCTGTGTTTACTTGGCATCAGTCGTCTTCTTCACTGTTTCTTGCTCATACATGAGCACAAACAAAACCAGGGGCACATACTGTGTACTGTGAAGATATTACACATATTCACACTGCACAAACTCCACAGGGCATGTTTAAGTCTGATCCTTTAAGACAACATGGACATGAATTCCTTGATTTGAAGATTTGTGTGATACAAATTAAAGCTTCAGTACGGCTACTTATGGACCTAGTGGTCTGATATTAACTTCTCCTCGAACATTTAATCTCTATTTAAGTTTAAATTGTTTGTTTAGAGATTTTTTCAACTGCTTGAAGCTCAGGCATCTTTAAGATTGTTAAACTCGACCATTCACTTTAGTTCAAATACCAAATGTACCACTATTTAAGAAGCATAAATTTAGTATGTAAATTAAAAGTATATTGGTATAAACAACCACATAATTTTACTTACATACAACTTAAAGATAATAGGTAATGCATTTCCATTCTCTTTAACACCTGCACTCTTTCACGTAAACCTGAAGATAGAAAATAAAATGCAACTTCTCCGAACCTGAGTCGTGACCACACGTTCAGGAAACTCACACTAAACCGAACACACAAAGGAAAGTTGTCTGCTCTCAGCATTATTCTCCAACTCTTCCTGCTTGAAAGGAAATAGGCCAGTGTCCAAATTAAAGTCTTATTTTAGCTCTGCCAGTAAAATTATCTTTAAGAGACAAATTACATTCTGTTTCATAGGTTCTGTATTCTTAATGGGATGAGTTATGTGTAGCGCCCTCAGGCTGCTGTTCATTAATTAGTGTCTGACCTCCACTGTGAAAAGTGTCTTATAAAGACAACTTATGGAGAGACACGCTGGCTGAAATGGGAGAAGAAGAAATGCATTTTGACAATTGATTCCATCAATTACTTAAATTAGGCTCCTTCAAATTCTGCTCTTTCATATATTAGACATTAGTGTTCAACTCCATTGTATTAGAATTAGGAGAATAATCAGTACGCATTGGATATCACGTCTGACACTGTCTGACAGGATTTTTAAGTGTAGGCAACGATACTGCATTACCTTCACACAGAAGGTGAGTGATGCATCAATGTTATCCCTTGCTAGAGCTTCAGCAGTCTACCGGTCCAAATCTGCCTGGCAGCCACAGGCTGGTCTCTGTGTTTTCAAGTTTACACCACATTTTGTTTGGCAGCTGGTGGTGAAATGAGTCAGATGTGCGGTGAAAGAATGCACACACCTCGTATCTCAGCCTGCAGTAAAGCCTTTTGTTTATGCCAGGTCTAATGCCAGCAGGTTCTGTTATGGATCAGCCTGTACTTTCATACATAAATATTGAATGCGTATTGGGGGATTAGTGCCTTTGATCAGTTAATGCAGCCCAGAAGCTTTGAAGCAGACTTCAAGCGCCTCGGCTCCTGACAACACGACGGGCTGATGTGCTACAGGTGACATTCTGAAATATGCTCTTTCACTATCATCACAGTGAGGCTGTATTTCATCTGCTCCAAACAGGGTGATAATGCTGCTGCTTTCATTAAACCAAATATCAGCTCAGAGGAGAGGTCAGGGGCGCTGAGGCGTTGTTAACTCTACGAATCATTACCCACTGAGGTTAAAATGCATGAGCACGGAGCCTGTTCACACCCTTTCAAATAAAAATTCATGTTCTATGAAAAGACACTCAATAATTGAAAATTAAACACAATTTATTCATTTAATAGGACGAATCTTCCTCTAGTCTAACTGGATGCACTGTGCCAGTCAACATGTTTAGGACAAGCCTGAACTCCAGGAAGCAGGCTGATAATGGTTGATTCAAATGGATAATCTACTGGTCTGAATGGACACACTAACTTTAGAAGTTCGACTGTCTCCGACCTACTTGTACGACATGAAGCATCCAGACCCTCAGGTCATCTGGGACAGGTTTACTTAGTGTTCCCAGAATCAGAACCAAGCAAGATGAAGCAGCTTGTAGTTTCTCTGTTCCCCACCTGTGGAACAAGCTTCCTGAACACCTGAGATGTGCTGAAACATTTAAATCAGGGCTTAAAACATCACTACTTGCTGCAGCTCACCAATAAATCACATACGTAACATATTTTTAATCTTGTGCATTTGCTTGTTTTTAATGTCTTTTATCACTGCAACACTCCTTTTAAAATGGTGTCCTGAGTCTCCTACCTTTTATGCAATCTTGATATGACTCAAACTAGTTTTTAATGTTTTTCATTGGTATTTTAATGTCATCCTAATGTTCTATTTTTGATGTATTTACATGCCTCTGTAAAGCACTTTGAATTGCCTCGTGTCTGAATGCTGCTATATAAATAAACTTGCCTTGCTTTGCTTATACTGCAAAGATCTGTGAGAGCATTTTATTTCACTAAATGGATGAAAATCTGATCTAAACAGAAATATTCTACTTGTGTAAATTAACATGTCCTTGGTCGTGTTTTGGTTTAACCAGACTCAATATTTGCCTCATTTATTAATGCTCTGCTTGGGAACATTTCTCAGTGGACAGATTATTGGCCGGAATGGACATGCTCCAGATCTAAATATCAGCTGGTTCATTATGAAATGTTATATTCACTTCACTTTGACTTGACTTAGAGAATAAACATCACTGCATAAAAGAAATCTACACCAGCTTCTACTTGCTGCTCCGCTAACACCCCTCTCCTCTCATTACAGTTTCGCTGCTCTCTGAACAGGTCTTGGCGCTCAGGCCAGTCTCTCTGTGTAAATGTGCCTGCTTGGAAAACTGGGTCTCTCCAGGGATTTCTGATTTTCAACCTAAGCCCAGAGAACATAGTGTTCTTCATCACGCAGATTGCACACTGTGCACTTTCATCTAAGCCAAGATGTTCCCAAAACAAAACTAAACTAAAAACCTGGAATTTTTTTTATCTTGCAAACGTTGTGTAGACAGATCTAGTTACAGCCTGCATGAGGTCAAAATGAGGTGATCTACATACTGTATTGCAACAATAGCAGCATAACATGCTACATAAAAAGGTGAGAGATCTCTGATTTCATTTTGGTGATTATCATATGGTAAAAATTGGCTATTAAAAGTCTTAGTAAATAATACAGCAAGTGTAAACTGATTTTTTTAAGAATTCATCTTAAAATAAAAAACAAGATTTATATAAATATATAAATTACTGTCCCAGTTTAAACATTCAACATTGAGTTATATGTTTTAAATAAACTCCTAAAGAGCTGAGTCACCTACTCAACTGGGAAGAGACAGACATGCTGATCATCAGCGCTGTATGAAAATGTAAAAGTCATTCAAGCTGTCTGCTGCCCTCCCATACTTATCCCCTCTTCTCGTTTGCCTTTCACAGAGAGAATCAATGCTTCTTTATCAGGTGAGGTAGAAAAATTGGTTTCCATGGCAACTGTGCCCCCAGCCAGAGCATTAGCATGCATACACGCCTGTCAACACGGCTACAAAGTTTTTCGTCATAGAGACTTGTGTGAGCAGAATGGAAGTTAAAGATAAATGAAAGTCTGAGTTTCGTATGGAAACGCTGTCGCTGGCTGCAGAGGTAACTCAGGTGCAGCTCTCTGCTTCCATTCACTAGACAAACTGATGCTGAATGGGGTGGGTGGACTGGAGGTTAAAGTAAACATCCCTTCCTCCCTTTTAGCAATGATCAGCCCCTGCCCTTGAAATTATTCATGGAGGGGAAGAGGTGATGTGGGATTTAAAAGCGCTCGTGGAAAGCTCCTTACATCCTAGAGACCACTGGACACAACATCAGCTTAGAGTCGCGTGTGTGCACTTGCCTCGCTGTGCAGTGGAAGCAGCCATGCACTAAAAACACATATGGCTGCCATGATGCTTGTACACCGAGTCAATTTGAACAGACCTGTTTAATGTGTAGCAGATGTATATTTACACTGTGACCTCAATACATAGAAGATGAGTCACAAGTAAATGTAGCTTGCAGCGATGTTTCTGCCGCATCACACTGCCTCGCTGCTCGTACACACAGATAAGCAGAGTAGTGATTAAACCTTTTATCACTTGAAGCAGCTAGCATCTTATCCATTATCCTCCGACAATGTCTAGACTCATAATCAATTATTTTCAGTATTTACAGTACTGATCTTGAGACTCTCATCGTGAGACTCAGTTGTTAACTGTTTAGGTTCATTGTGCAGGCTGATGTGAGCGTCGCCACTGGCAGAGCTTACATCAGCACAACAGCACACGCAGAACAGAGGTCCCTTTTTCTTATCTCAGTGCACACAGCACTTAAAGTTATCACTTAGTTATCGATCATATTCTGTTTCATGGAAGTGCGATTTGTAGCTTCGATACCCAATGCCACACTAAAGCATTTACTTGAAAGTCTTAGAAAGGCTTAGATTCACAAAATAAAAGCATGTCACTGAGCAGCAGCATGAAGGTCTACTATTCTGAAATAATGTGTTCAACTTCCTGCTTTTTGCAGTTTAGAGTTAGTACAAAACTAATGGGCCTCTGGCAGCAAAACAAAGCAGAAGCAGTTAATGTCTTATGACTGTTCCACTTGTTGCGTCTTCATTAGGTAATATTTTAACATTTGTGCATATTGGGAAGATTTTAGGTTGAAACAGGTCTGATCATATAGTCATATTGCTTAATTCATTTAGAATTAATGTGACAAACATCAAGATTGCATTTAGTTTGTAATTACAATTATTTCACTGTAAAAAATTGTCAATTTATTAATTGTACTTCATTCATTCATAATTCATGTAATGACTTGAGCAGCAGAGTCAGAGACTCACTTAACATCTTGGTGCCTGCTCATTCTGTTTTCACCTCTAACATCCTGAGTGGTGACCGCACACCGTGTCTCCCTTACGCTGGAATCATGGTGCTCTGTTGTAATGCCCTGAAAAAATAATTATTCATTTTATTGTCTTCACTTCTTCTATGCTCAGGCTCTTTTATCTGGTTTTATTTTTCTCAGAAGCTCTTTCTAACTTTGTTAAGAAAAGTGCTATATAAATGAAGTTATTATTATCATTATCAAATGATTTAAAAAATCACCACACACAAACTCAATATTAAAACTTTTGGAAAACTGAAAAGTACCTTAGAAAGTACTGAAAAGTAGATTAAGATTTACTGCTACTTAGTAACTTCCTGTTTCATTACTGCATTCAGCTGTTTTTATTGTGTAAATACCTTTGATTAAAAACACGGTTATGTTGAACATTTGATTCATTGGAGCTTTTATATTATGTTCTATGTTAACATAATTTTATAAAAGCGTCGACCTGTGCTTTAGCACACAGACCTTGAGACTCTTTTAACATCACTGTAAAACAGCATTTTATGGCAAATTGCTTGTTTGTTTACAGAGTACTGTGTGCAACACTAACATGAACATCCTCACTCAACCTGACTGAGTGACGGAATACAGAATGTTTTTTGTTATCTTGTAGTATATCTCTTCTCATGTGTTGTTGTCCCAGAAAAGCAGAATGACTAACATGTGGTTATAAAGAGGTATAGTATCGGTTTATACTGTAGCTGTCATGAAGGAGTTAGGGTTGATCACACAGATAGGAGCTGTCAGTGTTAAACACAGGACCAATCCAACTCACTTTCAGTCAAGATGGAATACACTGTTAGAAATTGGAGAATTGTAGCTGAATTCAAATGTATCTCCAGAATATATTTTTTTCAGACAGGTTTTAATCACAGTCATTACATTTTCCAGTTGCTTTCCTGAAAGTGAATGAACCAGCTGGTTGACAGTGCACGTACGAGGGTTGTGGTGTTAGAGAGAGAGAAAGTGAAATGTTCTCGGCATGTCTAGAAGCAGCTGGAAGAATGTGGGAGGTTTGGGTTGACATGTTGCAGGTGCAGAGTGACACTGTAGGATGTGAAGAACACACACTGACAGACAACATACTGATGCAACACCCCAGCAGTGAGCAGCAGAGACAAACAGTAAAGCAACACAGACTCCAGCCTCAGAGCGAACCGACAGACACCTGTGTATGTGCTCCACCTGTGGACATTTCAGTGGATCTGCTCACATGTGCATTCAGCCTCCGACACATGTGGGATCCTATTTGCTAATCACACTGTACACACTGGTGCAGAGTTAATCGCACGTAAGAGGGTATAGCTTTTATCTCAATGTGTTTTCTCCTAAGTCCATGGAGACATTGAGCAGTACTGATGTCGGTAAGAAGTACTAACTTGGATCCTGCTGTGAATGTGATTTGATAGTGAAGACATCTTATTAGGAGTGGAAGCTAAGCTTTTATCCTGCTGAGGGACTCCAAATCAATTTGTTCTTGAAATTGCGTGATATACTTTTTATATCTGTGGGTCCAGCACTCTTCAGAAATGAAACTATACTCTCTTGTGGCCACAATGAAACACGTGTCATGTTAAATATAGTCTTAACATGTTGGAACCAAAGTGTTCTGCATACAGCAACGTAAAAACTAAAGATTTCCATACATGCATTCAGTCATGTATGTTTCATTTATTACACTGAAATACAACATTATAATTTCATGCTACAAAGTGAAATGTGAACAGCTTATCAAATCCCTGAGCCGAGTCAAACTCCTCCAGACTGGCACGTGAGACAAAGGTCAATATAATGAAGTTAGTCGCTTAGCAACAAAAGAATCTTTGAAGAAACCAAACTATACTGTGCCTAAACAAGACAAAGAGAAATGTATGAACTCACTGTAATCTGTCAACAAACTGCTAGTTCTGTATGTGTGTGGAGTTCATCATAGTGTCACAACTGTAGGAAGATTTGAAGGAACCTAGTGCTATGCAGATATGTAGGTTTGGTTTTATTCACGTAGGTTTCTGCCTCCCAACCAGTGCAGTGGAATGAATGGAGGTGAATCAATCATATTCCATTTACCTACAGTGTAATGTATTGATCATTTACAACAGGACTGAATGTCTTTCTGGAAGCAGTGTCCTGGTTAGTCAGAATAATCAAGAGACTTTTCACTGTTTGAAAACTAGTCTTCAGTAAAATATGTTGACAGTAAGGTCTGTGGATTAGTAACTTTTTAAATTCAATTTTTGTTTTTTCTATGATTTCTCTGCACCACAAACAAAATTCCCTTCTCCCCCCCTGTACTACAAGGAGGACAAAGATTAGTCAAGACCTGAGGTGTGCTCTGTTGAACCTGTAAACACCCACAGGTTTGTGGAGTACTTCACTGCAGTGAGGTAGGAAGTAAAACCACTGGAGGTCAGCAGAGATCAGATTTTCACGGGGTGTTAAGTTACTCTTTTGATGCTTGCTGTGTTGTTTCCGTCTTTATCTTATCTGCTACTGATGTGTGAGCAGGCTGCATGGGTTACCGAAGTGTCACTACGATTAACAAGGAGTAATGCTAGTCTACTTTAGTATTGGAGAAAGGTTAAAAGGACCAAAGTTGTGTTATGATCAAGGATAAAGGGTGGAGGAAAGTCAGTCAGTGGGCCACTGGGAGCTAAAGGTCAGCCATGTTGTTAGTGGGAGTCTACAGTTAGAGGCTGCCACACACATGTTACCTGAGGTCAGTCTCTGAGATACTCCTCTGGTGCAAGTCCTCTTCGTTCTCCACCAAATCCTCCTGATGCTCCTTGTCTGACTCTACCCTCCCCCCTCCCTCCTTCCTCCCTCCCTGCAATCTCCCCTCTTTACTGGTCCGTCTCCCTCCCTCTCCTCCTCCTCCTCCCCCTCCTCCTGCCTCCTCCTCCTCCCACACCTCTCCTAACAGCTCATCCCCCTCCCGAGACTGGCTCCTTGATCGCAACTGGCTGAAGACGGAGACAGAAGCAAAGAGAGCCGCACATGCAAAGCAGAGAGAAAGCCAAACAAAGCATGAAAAACGTCAACAGCAAGAGAAACAAAAGACAAACACAACGAGACAGTGCAGCCAAGCTCAAAAGCAGACTGATTGAAAATAACAGGAAACAGAAATACAGACTTACACCAAGACGCCATGCAAATGAATTTGTTTTTGCTTTGATATGAGACAACACCCAAAGAGATGCAATGTGTTTTTGTTTCAGTGTTTGTTGCCAGATATGGACAAACTTTCCCCACAGCCTGAGAGAGTTCAACCATTTGGTTCCAGATTTTTCTAAAACGGAGCCAAACCTGAACTCATCGCAGTGAGAAAATGACAGACAGTGCTAAAGCCTTCATTTTCCTCTTTCAGTTTAACCAAGTGCAAACAATTTCAAAGCTGAAATCATCTGGACGTGGCGACATAAAGGGTATGTAAAGAAACGTTCACAGCTGAGGGGGATTTGTCCATTCCTGATAACAGCTTGAAGTGGTTTAAAGAGCGAGACACATTTCATTGTCCCCTGGTGTGGACATCAGCCTACCGGATCTTGCGATTTCCTTGCGGCCGCTCTGACTGGACAGACATGTAGCTCGTGCTGCTGAACCGAGAGGCACTACTAGTTCTCGACACAGCGGACACGTCGCTTACATCGCTGTCCGATGACTTGGCTGACAGGTTATCTGAGCCCCGTGGATCTCTGCCTGAGCGCTGCAGAGAGGACAAAACATGAACAAAAAAGTAAAGTTTATTATCACGGTGATGTCTGATGACACAAAAAGATATTCCTGGTGCTTGACTTGTGCAGGCAAACACATCATTGTTGCTTCTAAATGTTCAGTGGTTATTCATTCTGCACTTGTAAAACGAAGATACTCATTTAGGGCATTTGAAATGGTATGAACTGATCTGGAACACTGCTCGCATGCCTTTAGCTTTTTAAGGACAACTATTCTTGATCAAGATAAGTTCTTCTGCAGGAGTGAGCTCATGAATGTGAATAAGTCGACTTATTAGTGGCGCTCTCAGACGACAGGAAGAAAGAGGAGAGATGGTGCTGTTACATAAAGCGTATTAGGTTGTGCCTTTTGAAAGGTCAGAGTGTAGCCTACTTCAGTCAAATACATCAAATAGTAAGTACATGTAGTAGAAAAGTTCAGGGCAGAGAGCTGAATCATGCAGCTCTTCACAATGTGACATACAGTCTGGGAACGTGGTGGGTCCTGTCTAAAATTTCACTTTCACTTTTTTTTTTACACAGGCCAGACAGTCACACCTACAAACCTGTTGGCATCAGTCACCCTCAGTGATTGATGCTACTTTATACTTCTACTGTAAAGGGGGAAATTGTATATTTTTCACTCCACTATAGCATCTGACTGCAACAGTTAGTAGTTATTTTGTAGATCATGATTTTACATTAAAAACTGATTTTCTAAATAAATACATAAATAAGATGCATCATTATAGGCCTACGTTTGCTCACTATCATTAGTATCACTATCGTTATATACCCGGGAGCTGGGGCCAAGTTTTCTGGCTCCACGGTTTCTGTGTGTCATTTGACCAGTTTGCTTAAATACAATTTAGGAATATGTGTCATATAAGTAGATAAAATATAGAACTAAAATGAAACTAGATGACACAGTAGCTCTCTACAACACAGAGATCAGGTATTAATGCACGATCCAACTTATTTGATAATTTACTCTAGACGTGCAAATTCTTAAACTAATGTGCAATTAATCAAAGTTCATCAATGAACCGACAAACAGTCAACCTGAAGCGGTTGTGCTCTGTCTGGTTGCTAATCCAGCCCTTCCCAAAATGATCTATAGTATAATGTGATATATAATGTAATAGATATATGATTTACAGTGGTGAAAATTTGGTCTGTCTCGATCAACTACAACATTAGAATCCTGCTATAATATAATGAATAACAGGGGATTTTAGTTTTTATTTGTTTTTGTATATTTTTACTTTAGTAAAATGTGATAGCAGGACTTTTACTCTTGTCGTGGATCCATGGTTCCATATAAACACTGTGACATTCAGTGGTCTTGTTCACAGAGTTTTTCTAAACTTAACACTGAGGCTTCCTTGGAAGCTCAACTGGAATGACAAACTTGACATGTAAAATATCCTGAGTGTGTTTTATCAGTGACATGTTAACTGTAAGAGAACCTGAGCTGAGTGTTACAGTAACTGTTCTATATTACCCTGCGGTTTAACAGCAGGCACTCACAAGTCTTGTTTAATAACAGTGAGAGCGTTGTTTTGTCAAGAAAGATAATGTTTAACGGACATGGACAATTCGCAGTTTCATCTGCTTTTTATAGACTCCAAGCAAACAAGTTGGCTGCTCCTGTTGCAATAGTTTTCATAACAGTGACTTAAAAGGGAAGCTGGACACAGAGCCTTTGTACATCTTGGCCCAGACTGCAATGAGACACCAGACCAAGGCTGAGCTCTCTAAACATGCTCAGGATGTCTGCAGAGCAGAGTAGTAAACGCTTGACTCTGCAAACACTCACTGTCACATTCCTTGAATTTGCAACAAGCGGCTTAAAGGCTCAGTTCACCCACATGACAAAGAGAAAACACTTTTTCTCATTATACTTGTATCTATCATCCATGCATGTGCTAAGATTGTGAGATATACGCCACTGAAACTTATATACAATTATATATAATAATTATTATTATTGTTATTATTATTTTCACCTTCAGTGAAAAAAAACGAACACAAACTGTTAAAAGTTGGGTCTGTGAATGATTAATGAGTAACTGGGACATTGTGTCTGGAGTAAGACATAGAGATACATATATATATTCAGCTCAGGTGAACTGACCCTTACAAAAAACAACTGGACCTAACTCAGTGTTTTCCAACCTGAATGAAGCGGAGTGTTTATCAGTTTTCCTGTGTTTGTGTGACTATATTTGTGTGTATATGTACACTGTGCAAACATCAATGTACATGCGCAGTATGATGTTGATATGTGCATGTGTACATGCTCGACTGCTTTCAGAATGTACCATATGGCCTATGCACAGTGCAACCATGCAAACAGTGCACTGTAGGTGCATGTTTTCTGGAGTATGGAAGCAAACATGCAGCATATCTGGACATGTGTTTACCTTGTGGTAGTCCTGCTCCAGTCTGGAGTCAGAGCCAGCTCCCTGCTTGTACTTGTTCATCTTCAGTTTCATCTGCCTGGTCCTCTCCTCCATGTCCATACCTGAGCACAGAGACGGGACACTGTCAGATGGTGGCTGATACGGTGAGGAAGGCCTGATGGGAGGACACACTGTTATGGTGAGAGACGAGCTTCTGCTGAGCTATGAGCCATGAGCTATGACGAGGACAGATCTAATGGGGAAAAGCTGAATGGTCGGCTATTTTAACAAACAAACACAAACACAAACACAAAATGCTGACTAGTAAAGGTAAGCTGCATAACATATTACACTGCGTCTTTTGTAACCACTTGTCCAAAACCAAGGCTGAATAAACTATAGAAAAATTTGCACACTCCGTTACTTTTTAATTCGGTGATTATTAATCAAATTACATAATTTATTGACGCCCACTGCACAGTGAAGGAAGTTTAAACGCTGAGCCAAATTACTGCATTGAACAAAATGTACTCTCCCAGCAATACTTGTGATCATGTACATTTTACATGATATTTCTAGATAAAAGCCAATCCTTTGACAACAAATGCAATTCCTGAATGATGGGATTAACTGGCCCACACATCCCTCTCAGCTCAAACTGAAAGACTTGCAAAATCCACATTTTTCCAATTTCTTTTCATTTCAGTTCTTTGCCAAATCATCACATCATCCTGTTTGTCCATCTCATCTTCTCCCAAATTCAATTTAAGCACTATGCTCGGTTTCATATTGTTTAAAGCACAATTTGCACTGTACAAGCATCCGGCACAATCAATACCCAAGCTTAACCTTGCTCTGTGGAGGTAATAATGCCACTATAAGAACTATTCATTCACATTTTATGTAACTGAAATGAAAATAAAACAAAATAACACATCACAGCAAATGTTTTCTGCTGGAGCTGCTACACATCTTTTTCTCTGCAAAAACAATCATCAAATGCTGCCAAATGATGACGTCCCTGCTGTACCCTGTATCTCCATTCTCTCCACTTGCTCTCTGCCTCTACTTTTGTGTCATATGATGCCGATGACAGAGTGAAGGTGAATGCACGGGTACAAGTGCCATGCGCACATACAGTATGCCTGTAGCTTCACATACACACACACACACACAAGAAAAGCAATACAAGCTGGGAGCAAATGAATGACTGCACAGGTGAGGCAAAGTGAATTTTTCTCATCATCTTTTTCTCTGCTTCTCCTGGTTAATTGTTTATCTCCACTGCTTAAGTGACATGTCACAGCCTACACACTTCCACATCAACAGTTTTCTCTAAATGACACGGAAGGAGTCATTTCATGTACCAAGCATTCAGTAAACTGCTTGTTATGCTGCACCATAGCTATTGTTTTGCAACATCTGTTTATCTACAAACATTTGATTTTGTTGATCAACTCATGTGGTTATTCTGCTTTTTGAATTACAGTCAGTAAAATATTAGGACTGTTGTGTCTTCCAGCGCACTGAGGTTTGAAGTGAAACAATGGCTATGAGGTTACAGTCGCAACTTTATTCAACTTTACGGTCATTTGTGGGTCTTTACAGCCACATCAGATGAATGGTGTAGGAATTGCTGGATTTTTTTTAGACATAGCCCCCCCCCCAGTTTTAGGAGAAAGAAAGTGAATAGACAACATGTCATTTTTTTTCCACTTTTGTTAGGCCTCTAGGATGCACACATTGCATTTTGCTGAGAAACACTGAATCTAAAAAGAAAATCTTGTTCACTACACGTGATTAATTGTGTTTGTGTGTGTGTGTGTGTGTGTGTGTGTGTGTGTGTTTCTTGAAGCTGTGTGTTCTTGTCCCAAGACAGTTACGGCACGTCCTGCTGCACCTGCTGCAAGGACGACCTCTTCCACTGCTGTTTTTTAGACCACGTTTTAGGGCGAAGCAAGTGATAGGGACAACATGTCATTGTTTTCCACTGATTACCTGGCAACCTCACAGTGACAACAAGACTGGAAGAGGTGCCCTAAATTGGGAGACTATGTATAAAACTACATGTTCTGAATGTCAGTGATCCAATCTCATGTCTCATAGTCATTGTTTCATTTGAAAACAAATGTGCTGAAGTAGGATTTATTCATATATTTCTTTTTGACTGCACTGTTGTTCCTAATTTAAGGGACTCTAAATGATATTCACTTCAACAGCATTCAAAACCTCAGGGACACATTTTGTCAATTAAATTATATTGAAATCGGCCATAAAATCAGTTTAGGGAAATGCTGAAAATGTGTGTCCACAGAGAGGGTAAGTTCTGCTGTCATGCACCGACAGCAAGGTAGAAAATAACACAGTGTCTCATGTCAAGACCTGGGGCCAAGAAACAACACGTGTGACCATGACCATGCTTCTATGAACTGTAAGCACACACAGTCTGTCCACAGCAACAGAAAGGAGTGCAAAATGACAAAAAAAAAAGCCGGAAGCACTGTCCACAGAACAATCAAGAGCGCAAACTGCACAAGGAGATGGAGGCGAGCGAAACGGGAAAAGAAGAGATGATTGAGATGAGGGGAGGCGGGTCGGGGAGGGCAAGCCAGGAGGACATACAGAGTGAATAAAAGTAGAAGAAGAAGAGAAAGCAGAGTCAGGAAAGGAAGAAGGGGAGGAAGAAGAAGGGACAGACCTGAGTTCGTCCAACTTGGTGAGTCCGTGTCTTCTGGGATCACATCACAGAATGGACAGACACAGACAGAGGAGAGGAAGATGGATGTGAGAGGATGCACGAAGGGTAAGGGGGGGAGACGGAGGAGGAGAGGGAGGACGGAGGGAGGGCGACACCATCTCCGCGATCACCGAGTACGCCAGGTTTGGAGGGTCAGAGTGAAGAGGAGGAGGATGGAGGGTCGGGAGGGAGGGGGAAACAACACAACAACAATACGACACGACAATGATAAAACAACAGGCACAGAACACACAAACAAAATGATAGAGTACGCCAAGAACACACAAACTCCACCATGGGCACAGTGAGAAGTCAAAATAGAGCAAGAGGGTGCGAGGCCAGGAGAGGCTGAGGTAGAGTTACGTTATTTGAAGTCAGAGAGGGGGGAAGGTTGGGAAGGTGAGGTTCTGTGCTCTAAAGGAAAAAGAGCTGAAACAGTAAAGAGATGTTAATGTACCGAACCAGATAGAAACTGGAGACCTCTGAGGACAGGAGGGGAGAGGGGGAGAGGAAAGGAGGGTAAAAGGAGAAGTGGATGTCACTTGAGGCTGCATGGGGGCAACTGTGGGGGAGACAGCCTGGAAAAATAATGTAAAAGAAAGGAAAAGAAAAAAAAAAAAAAAAGAACACAAAACAACACAAACTGAAAGCACAGAGCAGCGAGCACACAAAAGAGAGAGCTGACTATCTCAGAGTATCAGCAGCAGGATACATGAAAATTGAGAAACCTGAGTTGTGTGCAAGAGTGCACACACACACACACACATACCCACACACACACACGTAGACACACACGGGGTGTCAGCAACAGTGTCGTTCTGAAAGAAGGTTACACAACAACGTCAACTGCCTGCTTTCAGGCATCTCTGCTGCTTCCGATTACATATTTTTCTCCCCTTCATATTATTCATGTCCTTCCTTCCTTCCTTCCTTCCTTCCGCACAGCCTGCTGAGATCCTTCTCTCTTTCTTCTCAAGATGAATTGCGCTTTAAATTCTCTATTAGCAATCAAGACACTTCCATGTGTGTCTTGTTCCTATGTAAGCAACCACTCCACGACCCCCCTCAGAGTCATGCTGCCTGTCTAACCTCCGTGCTGGAGTCTGAAGCTAAAGTCCACAATCAACAGTGACAGTGAAAGAAGGCCACTCCATCAGACTTCATTTCCATACCCCCTTACACAGAATTTGCATTTAGCTCAATTAGTACTTCATTAGGGTGAATAATGAAGTGTCACATGAATTAAAAGACAATGTTAGACATCTGCCTCACCAGCTTTCATCTCTTTGTGGCAGCTAACATCATCTCATTAGGGAGTCAAATGATGATCAAGAGAGCAAGTGATTTTTTTCCCTTACTTCAGCTGCATCATGTAGGTCATCAGAATAAGGGAGTGATATATTAAAAGTCTCTTATGGTCTGTGGGTTAACACTGTTCGGTACGAACAGACCATATTTAACACAACTGCCTCTGAATGACACATGATTTCAACACTCCAGCTGCAGACACAGCAGCCAAGTTCATCATCGTGTTACAGACAATTACAAATGGTTGATTCATAGACAACGAGCTGGTTAAATAAGATTCTTGCACTCTGTGAAGGGACCTACATTTCCACAGCAGAAATGACAACATGCGCCAGAGTCATTGTTATGAATGCCTGATGAATATTCAAAAGCAGCTCAACTGCCATCATATGAAATTCTACACTACTGGTGTCAAGCTTTAGTTTAGTTTAGTTTAGTCCCATCCCACCACAAGAGATTGTTATTTATGAAACATCATATTAACATAAGATGCATCTTGTAGCAACACACATACAAAACCAAAAGAAGTTCCAACGTCTTTTAGAACTCTATAAATTGTGCACCACATTCTACAATCTAAAAGTTTATCCTGAGAAAGAGCTTTTTTTTTGTTCAAGTAACTGCCTGACTTAAATGTGTCATATGAATAGTCAACACAGTCTTTGTGCATCAAACATGATTCACAAAATCTGTTTCTGTTTTTAATATTACTAAAATAAAGTCATCTGTAGTTTCCAGTAAAAGGACAATAAATAATCAAATTGAACTCGTTTATATCACTACAAAGCCAAACTGGACAAATCTGCTTGTCTTCAGTTTCAGCATTGAGTTGTAAAACAGAAGATCTCAATTCAACACATGAATATTTTTGCTTCTTAAATTCTAAACATGATTTTTAAAACAATATTAACCTACACATACGACATCAGCACACTGATTTGAACTATCTTATTACTGATTAATAAAACTTTTACTGTTTTTGAACTATATAGAGTCATCATCATGATTTTTCCACATTTCACTTCACTTCACTTGTGTGTGTGTGTGTGTGTGTGTGTGTGTGGTGTGTGTGTGTGTGTGTGTGTGTGTGTGTGTGTTTACAAAATTAACCTAGATCAGTTTTCACACTGAAGCAGAGCTTTTATGACAAATCATCTCAGACCATAGTAGCTATAGAAACATCAGCTCCAGGCTGCACTGCAAAATCACATCAAGGAGGAAGAGATAGAAAAACAGAAGGGCGCCATCCAGAGGCTGACCTGGGCAATCAAATACATTAAATCAAGTTCTCTTCCTGCTTTTTTTATATACACATCTATTCTAACAGCCAGCTTCCACTGTCTAGTGTCCAGGTTTCCATTTGCTGAGGTTGTAATCCAGCTGATTAGAGTCCACACTAACTATGGAGGACAGTGCAGAAAAACCTATGAAGGGAACAACACACTGAGTGCATGAACAACAAACAACCCAGTATCTTTTTTTGTCACTAAAGTAAACATTCTTCACATGATGAATTAGTTTTAAGGCAAGACAGCACTTAATATGCCAATATTTTACTTAGATTTGTCTCCATTCATATGATCTATAACTCTAGGCTCTTAGAGTTACTTTACAAACTTTAGTTTCAGCAATTAAACAAGTGGGTTGGACAACATAAATGTCCATTGCTAGTTATAGAAGTGCATTGGTTTTCAAAATGCTATGCCAGGTAACGTCACCTTCCTTGTTAGCTAACCTTCCTTGTTAGCTTAGGGTGAAGCTTCTGAAGGGAGTGTATTTGTTTATCTGTTAAATTCAAATATCTTTCTCCAAAATCTCTTACTCTACCTTTAAATGGCTTGTTTATTGTTCATGATTAGGAAGTGGCAGAAATCTACACCCACACCAACTAACCTGCATCAGTGAGGGAGGGGTGTGGCTGTGTCCCTCCATCAGACAAAGAGCCATTCAGCCCTCGCTGCTGGTCCTCCCATGTCACCTCTACAGCAAGACATACACATGCGCATACACATACACATACACATACACATACACATGCGCATACACATACACATACACACACTCACTGGTTTGGACACTACATGGTTTTAATGGGCCTTGGATTATCAAGGGAGCTTTTTCTAAATTCCAGCACAAAACATTGTGCAAAATCCGTTTCCCAGCTTTTTCTCTGAAAAAGAAATATTATTTTTATTCCTTTAGCTTTTAATAGACAATTTACATATCAAAACCACTTATGTATATATTGTGCTGTGATAATAGAAAGCATAGATTAGTAAGAGCAAACATTGGCAAGAAAGAAAAAAAACCTCTTTGCTACTTCAGCACTGAAATCATGGACAGCTCCTCATCAAAGAATATGAACTTTGCTCCATCTAGTGGCCAACAGAGGTAACGGTCTCTAAGGCTTTAAAAAAAACAAGACATTCAACTCTGCTGTACTTCAACAGCAAAGTAAAATGCAAAGAATAGCCAAGAAATTATTTTTAGTTGTTTATGGTATACACTGACATCAAATGTGAGATTACTAATGAAAAAGGGATGCAACAAAACTGTTTTTGACAGAAAAGAATTTCTCTAAACATGACCTCTATATGTCTGCCTTTGCCAGCCTTTAAGGGAGTACTGTATAGGGTGTGTGTCTATATGTTCAATAATCCATGTCTAATTGAAATGATTGGCAATTTCACAATGGAAATTGAGAGCTCTGTTGTGAGCAGAATTAATTTCTATTGAAGCAGAGATTTAAAGCTGTACTGGAGCCAGAGAAGGACAGACCAGCAGAGATCACAGCAACAGCACTCTGGATGTATTAACATCAGTTTTAGCTTCGTGCAGTACAAGCCTCGAATTTGTTCACTCCAATTAGCTCAATAGGAATAAACCAAAGTCAATGTATATAATAGATGAAATGTGGACAAAGGGAGGTTTAAAGAAAAGGACGATTTAAATGTACTATGGCAAATAAGAAGGTAAAATCATTCAGTGCAGTCGAGTATCGAGAATCACGGCTACAAGTGAATGTCACAAATGAAGAACTTGTGCTGACTGAGAAAACCCACACAGCAAAGTCACACCATCACACTATTCAGAGGACTTGCCTTTCCTCCCATTTACCGGTGGACCTTGGGGTTTTTCCTCACAGTCTGCTGCTAGTAGAGAGACAGATGGAGGCTCATGAAATAATGGAGCTCTGAAACCCACAGTACTGTAAGTCACATTATTATGGCAGCTCATACTGTATGTGCTCATACACAGACGCACATACACTCACAGCTCTGCACACAAACACACAGCCGATACTAAATACTAGTTTGTATATAATCGCTACTGGTTAATTATGCTATACAATGTGTGGTTCAAATGAACACAATGTATTTGTCACTGTACTCATAATGCAACATACAACCTTCTTGCAGCAGCGTTTGTCCTGCAGAATATCACTCAGAATAGAGACAATTTAAAAACAGAATGTGGCTTTTTAGGGACATGAGTATCCACTGAGTCAGTGAGCACAACAACTATGACAGTGTTGAGTAATAGCGCACAGTCAAAGGACAGAAGCAAGCCACATAAACAGATGGGAAAGTAGGAAGTGCAAACCGTGGGGAACTCCAGTTTCTGCCAACAGTCTGGCCGTTCATTCAAGCCTGTGGATGAATGTACTGTACACCAACACGTACTGTACATTACTGCCATCCAAGAAACAAAACAAGATCCCAACTCCTAAACAGAGCTTGTACTTGAAACATTTAATTAGCTTTTAATGTGGATAAACATGGAATAATTTCAAGTTTTAAGTTTTTCTAAAGAGAGGAATCAAGCAGCATCACATAGCTCAAGAAAATGGAGAGAAGAAACTTTAAAGGCTGTTTCTGTTGTAATAAACACACCTGGGCAACCATTTTGGGGTTCAGATGCCCCAAGCTCCTCCCTTGCTCCCCCTTAGGAGTTGCCACACATACAGTAAATAGATAACACACAAGAGAATTAGGTTTGTGTAAGTATGACTAAACTTCAAAGCAGAGAGACAAAACGGTGGCGAGGTTTATCAACAATCCAGCTCCTCTCTGAAATCAGCAAGGGGCAATAATATGGATCCAGTCCATAAAAAGCTGCACACACACACACACTCACACTCACACTCACACTCACACACTCACAGAGATTTGCATTACATAAGCTGAGTGCCATACGGCTCTGTGGGAGCTACAGCACAAGGTCAGATCAATACCTCCCCCCACTGCCCACACATTGCCACTGTCCTGAAAAGAACAGTGGAGAGATAGTGAAAGAGATACACATAAAAAAAAAAATAAGAAGGCGAGAGAGAAGTGGGAAAGGATAGACTACCTGACAAAGAGAAACAGAAAAAAGAGAGATTAGGTCAGGAATAACTAAGAAGAAGGGAAAAAAGGCGACACAAAGAAGTGACAGAGAAGTCCAGACAGAGCTTCAGAGTGATAAAAAAAAAGATGGCACAGACACAGAAGAAGGGTGGGACAGAGAGGGAGAGCAGAGGAGAGTGTTAGGAAGATGGAGAGAGAGAGAGAGAGAGAGCTGGGCTGTAGGCTGGGTGCTGTACAGAAGACAGGGAAAGCCCTCATGGACTCTGACAATGATGAAAGAGTTCTGCGAGTTCTTTGACAAGTTCTCCAGAGCTGCAAGAGCTTTCCCCCCTCCCTCTATCTCTGTCCCAGTCTTTCCCTCCGATCACTGCAAAGCTACAACGATCTTTGTTTTTCCACAGCATCTGATTCAAAGACACGAGTGAAAACAATCAGTGCTTTCATCGCAGTGCCCCTCACCGTACACGTCACAAGTTGCAAGCTGCAACAACACATAACATTTGATGGAGGAGTGCTGAGGAACAAAGCTGACTCCAAATGTCACTTTGTGGTTATGGGGATGTGGAAAGTTCAAACTTTTGTGCCTTAATCGTTTTCTCAGAGCCTGGAGTGAACACTGTTTACTGACACAGGCTTGGTGAAGTGTCTCAGCAGTCCAAATAATTAAAACAAATCAAGAATTCTCAAACAAATAACGACAATATCCAGAGTGTAACTCAAAAGAAAAGAAACATGGAGGCAACATTTGAACACAACACTGGTACTCTCAATAGCGGGATCCAGACAGATCTACAGGTTAGTACAACACAATGGCACAGGACACCTCAACTGCACGTTAAACACAGCTGCAACAGAGGGAGGCTTCAAGGAGCACAGAATAAGCTCCGCCACTAGGGGACACAGCCACCCGCCGTTGCAGACAGGGTTTTGGCCTTCAGAGTAAGGTGCGGCTCAGTAAGCACTCCCAGTCTGAAAGACTAAACCCACACATTCAGCTACAGACCTTCACAAGGCTCTGTTCCTTCGTCTCCATCTTCTGAGAGAGAAATGGGAAAGGAACCGTTTGCAGATGTTATGGATGGAGGGTAAAAGTAAACACCAATGAAGCACAAAACAAAAACAAAAAAATCCTTGCACATATGATATGATCTGTAGCTTCTACTGAGAGATTCCATCAGCAAATAATAATCCTTCCTTTTTCACACAAAAGTGAAGTGTAACAGTCAGCGACTGTAAAACCAAAGCTCCACCTCAGACCCTAACAGTTGGGCCACCAAATAAAAACTATATCATCGTAAGATACTGAACACAAACACACTATCGCACTAATAAAAAGATGTCCTCACTCAATATGCATGTATCAGACTCTCCATAAACAGTAGCCCTGTAATACAAACAGAAAACAACCAGGTGACTTACTTCTGTCCTTCCCTGTGGGCGGAAGCTGTGGTAGTTGTCGTCCTCGTCTACTGGACATGGGCGTACTGGTGGGACTGGTCTGGACTGATCCACTACGAGGATGCGCCCTACATGACAAAAAGTAGTGGACACTGGGGTGAGACAGGAATTAGGACAGGAGCAGATGGTGGATGGGCCAGGTCAGGCCATGTCGCACCCACGTCACAGTGTGAGAAAAGTAAGGGATTGTTCAAAAGAGAGAGAGATACGTTTGATAGCAGAGATGTGAGTAAGATAAATAGTAAAGCTATTTGCTACAGTGGAAAGTGACATGATTTAATCCACTTATCTAGGATCACTCATTAATTTAGTTCATATATACTGTAAGTAACTGTCAGGCCCAACAGAAGGAAATCAGTGACAGTGGCTGCACTAAAGCATGGAGTAACTAAGAGAAACTGACTGACTGAAACATTACATCGTGTCTTGGATCTCCAAATATAAAACCGATGCACACAGCAATGATGTTTGGCACATGGCATGGGAGTGGAGGGATACATCAACTGTAGGGAACTGAGCTGCAATAAAAAGATGCCAGGTGTGAATCGCATGTACAGTCGACTCATCAAGCTGCAAGGAGAGAAGAGTTCAATGCAGAAACAGCAGACTAGTGCGACCATGCGTTCAGACTGTCCCCAAAAGGCTTCAAATCACACAAAAGAAAGAAAAGAAACGAAAAACAAAATGCCATCACAGGATAAACGGCATCAGTTGATGTTAGTAATGAAATCAAAGTAAAATGTCGGCCCAACACTGCTATACTCACGCAAGCGTATAAGCAGTGTGTGTTCCAAATCAAAACGAGTCAGCACGCTATTCTACGGTGTCGGGGTTGTCGTGCCTGGGACATGTGTAAAGAAAATACAGCACCGGTGCTTTTGGGGACAAAACACAAAGTGGCTAGGTGGGGTGGTGGGGTAGTTGTGAGGGGGAGGCGGCTGGGGTGAGGTGAGGTGAGGTGGGGTGAGGTGAGGTGAGGCAGGAGAGCAGGGTGTTGGGAGGGAGGCAGGTAGGTGACAGTGATGTAGTTTCTCTGGTTCATTCTCTGAGTTAGTCAGGTTCGGGGTGGGTGGGAGCTCATGGGACGGGGTCTCTACTGGTTTAGTTCTACAGAGGTTTTAGTTATGCAAAGGTTTAGCAGAGGTGGAGCCGCTCTGGGGGAAGAAATAATCTTATTGGTTGATTTAAACCTCAGAGATTACTAACTGGAGTAATCCTCTAGCTAGTAGCTCGACTTCTAGATTAGCAAGGAGGATTATTTGATTAATTAGTTACACAGCAAGCTGCCTATTTGATCTAAATAGACTAATATGAAGCTATTTGGGTAAGATAGGTGGCTGACCTGGTAGCGAGGCTAATCAACCAACCCAGATTCTGTACATTACTAGACCTCTATATGTCTAGATTGTATAATCCCAGTTGCCAGAATAAACATTAATGTTTTCACTGGGCTTTATTCTATTCATGTTACTTGGCCAAAAAACTGTGGGTCTTTGGTCTACTTACTGATGTTTTAACCTAATGTTTAAATTATTTCTCCCTCCAGAGTAGGTATGCCTCAGGGAAATTATTGTACAACTACAACTCTAGTCTGCTTCTGTGCTAAGCTTGTTAACGTCTCCGATCTGGGTCACACCTCGTCAAGGCAGGTGAGGGGGGGGCGGACCTCCCAGATGGCAGAGACGGCATGGACCTCATGAGCGAAGAGTCGTGGGGGCGTTCAGTGGAGCGCGAGCGGGATGTGGGGCGCTCTATAGTGGGCCGCTGGTCTGCAGAGCGGGACCTGCTGTGATACTCGTGTCTATCCATGGCTCCGTGGTTCCTACAGAGGTTATTGAGAGATAGGCAGGCACTCAGTGGGACCCAAGCAGGGCAGGGACAGTATGCTGGCAGGGTGGAGGGCACAGAAATTTCTTGCACCCTCTAAACTCCTCTGAGGTGCATGTGTTTCAGGACTACACGTGTGTTATTGCATGTTTTAACCCATTTATTACAAACCACATTCAGTACTAAACCTTTCACCATTGCTGACAATTTTCAAGATCATATCAAAGTTCTTTAAATCTCAAATCATCACAGTAGATTTATAAATCTAACTGTAGTTTACTGTCATGGACTAAACACGTGTCCATGAGCAGATTGTTGTCCTGTATTGGTTATTAATGATCCATGTGGAGTAGCAAATACACATTCAAAAAGAAACTGGTCGGCCGTAATGTCAACTATATGCAGAATGTTTTCCTGTAAATGGACTAAAACATGCAAAAATACAGGTACGGCCCCTTAAAGTGAAGGAGTCAAATTATTCAGCAACTCTTCGAGAACAGTTGACGACACTTTAATGTTAACAGACAACCTGTTTCAGCTGTCACAGCCTTAATGTAGCAGAACTGCATGTACAGCTGATAATGTTTTATTATTCTATGACATCTAAAATGTTCTATGGCCACTTAAATGGGCATTTTTTTTGGTTTCATGAAATGTACTTAAGATTCTACTTACATGCAATTCTTTTACAATTTGTCTATCAACATTACAGCTTTGTCTATAATTCTTTATGAGTTGATGAATTACTGAATTTTTAGGGTGGACAGTATGGACAGAGGGCTAGGAGGCTTCTGTGTGGTTTATGGTCCCTGGAGTGAATTAACAGTGAAGTCTTCAGGGTGTGTACAGCAGGGACCATGTGCTATCTCTCAGTATGTGATGGGTGTGTGTTCATTTGCAATCTATTTGAGGTACAGTGAAATGTGAGGGAAAGGTGAAGTGTGTCTTTAACATTGCATTTGGCTCCTAAAAATCTGTTATTTCCTGAAAATGCCCAGCCATTATGAGTCTATTTGGCACAGTGAGGATGAAGGCAGATCTTGTCAGTCTGAAGAGCTGGTAAAAAAAAAAGGCAGGTGAGGTTCTCAACTAGAAAAAATCATTGATAGTGTACATATTCTTTAAATTTGCAGAGAGAAAAAAAAAAAACATTTTCATAAAACTGCATCAAACTGCACATATCAAACCAGTGAAAGGAAATATTCAGCTTTAGAGCATGCACACTGTTTAGAAACTGTAAACGTTTAAATGTGAACATCTTAAGCCCTTCATAGGTCACAGTGTTTAATTAAACCATAAAGCGCAGAAGACAAATACTGAGGCTAACAGACACCAAAAGACTTAGTGAAATAATTTCAAACCATAACTTTGCTGAACATTTTTGAGAATGTGGAAGAAAAACTTTTACTTCTGATTCTTTTCAATCATTTGAATTTTAATTAATAAGTCAATCTTGGCATAGTCCTGTAGCGTCTGCAGCCTTTTGCAGTATGAAAAATTGTCCAGTAGAGGAAATGTCCTTTTTGTCTACGACAGCAAAAACAAAGGCTCATCACTCCGTAACCTTAAGTAGCCGTAAGCATTCTTTATCTACACTCATTTACAGTGATGGTCAATATAATCATTCCCCACCATGATGTTGTTATGGCTGAGGATTTATGGGTAATGTGAAGGTTGTGTCTGTTACAAATCAAATATCTCATTAGGTGTAATTTAATGGATATAGCCATGACATACACATGATGCACCTTGAAATATGACTCCTCGACGCACTCAGACTGGTTTCAAACTACAAAAAATGTGTTCTCTATTTTAATGCTTATACGTGACAGACTTTGTCCCATTCAAGGTGCACTCTGGGACGAGGCACTTAAAACAACAGAATCATGAAAAGCATTTTCTCATGTTCTGGGCAGAAATGACCTAAACTAAGACATTTGCCGAAAGGCTCAAAGTCTTTCTCTTTGTTGCTTATTTCTGTCTCCTTGTCCTCGTTCCTTTTTTTGGTCTCACTATTGCTTTTACTCTGCCTGGGTACAGACAGAAACAAACTGTATCTGTGTGAAAAGAGGAGTGAAATCTATTCTACTCCTCTGTGGATAAAACTGAGATGCTAGCTGCTTTCCCTTTCCTCTCAGTTTAGACAAAAAGAGAGGGAGAAAAAAGAAAATGGAGAGCTCTTGTTAATGGCTATCTAGGCTGTAGCTGAGCCTGAAGTCGAGCCAAGCTGGGCCTTAGGGAAACTTTGTGACACTTTAATAAAGTCAGTCAGGCTCTCAGGCTGAGTTCTGAGGACTCATCACTTTTTTCCTCCTGGAGAGGAGAGAAATGGCACAGACGTCACGACGTTATTCCTGACTGAAAGCCAGATGGCAGCAGGTGGAAGAATGAAGACAGGGAGAAGTGGAGTCATTTACAGCGTTTTTCTGGAAGGGGGCTATGTGACTTCTTTCTTATTATTGCTGCACCAGGAGGCTGGTGTGGGTCCTGGGGATGAACGGGGAGCCCTGCAGCCCATTCTGGTCTGACCCCAGAAGTCAAAGGGCAAACACAGAATTTACAAAGTCACTGTGCAGCCCAGAGCAATGCATCAGAGATGCCACTGTATGGGTGAGCAAAAAGCTGCTACCAGTAGCACGTGAAGAAGGACAATACTAGTGATCACACACACCACTGATCGACATATTGCTGTTGGTATAATGTACATGGGTACATAAACAAAGACATCAACGAAGAAACAGTCAGGTGCTGGCCAGCACTTAACTCGACAACCAGTATACATACAGCTGACATCAGCAACACAAATAGCTCTGGGCCTCAACATACTGAAGCAGTTGTGTACCATTACTGGACGTCTACACAACTTCAGAGCTGTGATGACTCCTTAACAAAAACCGATATCAGACAGGATATCATTTTCTGTCATCACATGTACGATCACGGGTAAATTAAAGATGGACGAGGGACAACTTGAGGAGACCACAGGATGGTGGATGCACAGATACAGCGGCAGTGCATGTCAATACCTCTCGTAGTCAAAGTCGGAGGAGTAGGCGCCCTCAGAATAGGCGCGGGCCATCCTAGTGGAACGCAGTAACCTGACTGCTTCCTCTCTGCAGATCGGGTACACACGATGGTTGCGGCTGGCGAAAAAATATCACAACTGGTCAGCATTACGTTTGTTTTCATCACAAGGGGAGGTAACAAATAAATATATATAAAAAACACAAACCTGCAAAGGAGGTTGGAATACACTTTGTCTGCAATCTGTCTGCATACATACTTATTAAATCATCCTACAAATCCACTACTATACACTGAGGGTATCCACATGTTTGTAAGAGAAACCACCTCTGCTGGACAAAACTTCACAACCATAGAAACACTTATCCATTGTCAGTATTGCCATAGTCACTCTTTTGGTGGCTAAGATGAAAAGACAAATGACAGATTTACTCTCCTTAGAATCTCACTTGTTCACATGGTAAAAGTTTGGAGCGAAAAGAGAAGAAAGCTTTTATGATAATGAGGAGGTGGAAAGAGAGAGTAAGCAATGCTGATACTGGATGGATGAAGTGTATGGCCAAAGAATCACCCACTTTCTCTATACAGTGTACTACTGAAAAGTAACACACATTATGTATATATTTAATCTTCCGCAGAAGAAATATATACTTTAACACTACAACACAACACTTATGGCATTGACAATGGCCAAGTGACACAAAGTGGCCTCTACAGTGTAATCATAAAACCATGTGGCATGACAGTTGACTGTGGATAGTCTTACAGGACTTCATGCAATGTAAGAACCTCATGGTATTCACTTGACATAGATTACAGTGAGAGAAAATGTGCCATAGTGTCAGTGTCATGTGATCAACACCCAGATGAAAGATTTCCTGAAGAAAACAGAGGGTTTGTGGGCTGCAGTTGAGGGTGTGTGGGGTTGGAAGGTGGAGTTGCAGAGATGGGGCTTCATGCAAGCTCAGGTAAGAGTCTACCTGGGGTCCTTTTGAGGATCATCAATAGGCTGAGTATGTCTGGTTCGAGGTAGGGTGAGGAAATGGCTGCAACCACATGGAGGGAGGAGAGAAGACAGAGATGGATCTGAGATGGCGCCGAGGAAGAAGCACAGGAGGAGGAGGAAAGGAGAGAGAGAGAGAGGATTGGAGATAGACAGAATCATACGCAGACAGATGGAGGGGTGAGGAAACTGAGGGAGAGAGAACGAGAGATTTCTCAAAGAAATAGGATGTAAAGAGACTGAGAGAGCTCATAGGAAAGGTTGATGTAACGGTTTCAAAGAGGAAAAACAGGCAACGAAGATAAGAGAGGCTGAGAAATCGAATGGTGAGATGTCTTCCTCAGCTTTACCACACAGACAGATGAAAGTGGTACACTGAACACCAGCAGCATTCACAGAGGAGAGAACAGAACAGCACAGTCCAAACACCTGAACCTGCTTGGTGTTACTTCTGGATGTGAAGGACAACAATTTAACACCATGCACATTACATAAGATTTGCTCTTTCACACACACAATTTCAAGAACATTTCAAAAAGTAGGAAAATGTAGGAACATTTTTTTTTTTTTAAATAGTCTCACTCAAAACTATTTTAAAAAATTAAAGAGGAGATTTTTTTATATATATATTTGAAGTGTTCTGGGACAAATCCAAACTCTCCATGACTCATTTCCTGTGTCATTTTCAACTGTTTTCAATAAATAACCAGACACTGTTAATTAAAGCAGCTGAAATACACTCAAGTGAGCACTGTCCCAGACAATTTAGATAAGTGCATTTTCTGAGTCTGACACTGATTTAGGCCAAGCCTCAGAAATATCAAATAAAGTTAATTGGACTTGGGGGGAAGTAGCTGTGGCCTGGCAGTGCCAAGGCTATGATTGGACTCTTGGAGCAACATTTTCCACCACTCACAGAAAGAAAATGCTGATGGGGGATAACTGACCACTTCCCCTTGACCACCTCTTCCATAAAGATAGTGCGATACATGCAAATACTGTATACTGTACGCAGCATTTACAGCATTGGCTCCAAATGTGTCCTGCATAATTTCAGCCTCCTCGATGTGAGATGGAAAAAACTTGTTAAAAAAAATGTGTTGATTACTTTTCAAAAGCAGCATAGTCTTATCCAAATCATGTTAGTGTTCATGTTAGATTTTAACCGTCATAACTTTTCTGATGTAACACAACTTGTTGACATTATGTTGCAAGATATAGGATGCATCAAGTTATAGGGAATCCACGCCACTGTACCAGATTAAACATGTTTGGAGAACGTTGCAGAAACATCAGAGGGATGAAAGCACTCACACACAAAATCACTTTCTTGAGAGTTTAAGGCAAATGGCATCTTTGTGTTAAGTGTATGCGTGCAGAAATACCTCCCTGAATGTCTACTCATCAGACCCCACTTGTGACTGTCAGCATATGTTCATGCATGTCCGCGTGCATGCACCCACTGTACACAAGTGCAAGCTGGAGAGTGTGTGTGTACCTGTCAGGTGAGTAGTTAGCTTCGGACACACTGTGGTGGTCCACTCTAGAGGAGGAGCTGTACTGAGAGTGCCTGAGGTCAAAGGCCGGGTCCAGACTTCTGCTGTGTGACAGAAGTGGACTGGATCACCCCTCATGTAGTTTATGCACCACACACTGCCCCCTACTGGCCAGGGGGGGGCACATGGCCTCATGTTTAACGGAGGCTTTCAGAGTGGCCGCGAGAAATGCTACACAGCACATACAGCACTTGGTGCTACAACCAAACGAGTGATTCATTTCAAATTAAATCTTTTTTCAGAGTAACCTGAAATAGCATGTCTTTCAGCTCGGCTACTAAATCTGTTAGAATTTTGTGGATTGGATTTGTGGAAGCAAGAATGTTAAGCCATCCTTCTTTAAGACGAAACTAAGGTGTAAAATACATCATCATCACATGAACACAAATATAATAAACACAGAGAAAAAGAAAACAAAAAAAACAACAAAAAAAAACAAATGTGTATACCCAGATGTCAAGGGTCAGCCCAGTGGAGTACTGAGCATTAGTTACCTAGAGGGTGGGGGAACGCTGGGGGAGCGTGACCGTGCCCTGTTTATGTCAGCTGACCGAGAGCAGTGGTTAGATGACATCACCTGCTCAGGGACAGACAACGTGGAGCTCTGGAAGTCCCTGCCGTTTGGCCGGTAGTCTGTGGAGACAGGAATGGGTAAAGAAAGGGAGGAATGGAGGGACAAGGGATTATTTAGATGGTTCTTTATTTACAGACAGACGCCACAGGTACTACAGTGTTAGCTTTAAGTTTACAACACCTCAGTATGGATTCCCATTGTTTTTGAGTGGGTGACAGCTAAACCTACAGCCATGGTAATGACAAACTATGACTGCTAATGATGCACATCCAGTTTAATCACACCCTGTAATAACTCAGGAGAAACTTTCTAAAAGTTATGCTAAATGCCATTCTGTACAGGTGACAGATTCTCTATTTTCATTATGCTGACTCTCTATATTCCAAAATGGAGAAGTAGGTTTTGATAAAGGTGCAATTCATCTGCTGTGTCAACACTGTGCATTAAACATGAAAATAGCCTTTAAAAATCAGAAACATTATAATGAATTTTCTCTGCAAGACTGATTAGTCCATTGAATTTGAAAGAGTTCATTAACCGATAATCAGACATGGCTAGAAGCCATGGTTAAGGTCAGTGCTTAGCTCTATAAAAGTTGATTGATATTCAATAGAGTGTACAGCACATTAAAATGAGTTAAAGAAAGCTCTGAATCAAAAGTTGGAAAAGAAGGAAAGGTAGGAGAAATTGGAGGTAATGAAAAAGAAATGTTGACCTTCACTTAAGAAAGTTTGACATATTAATATTTTTTTTTTTGATGGGAGGTACGGTGGCTCTGCAGAGCAGCTCAATTAAATCTATAAAATCATTTCACAAAGTTAAAACAATCCGGATTTCAAGTAAAATTTTGACATTGTCAGAATTTTACACAATGTACGTTTACAACCAATCTCATACAGTTCCTTTCTTTCTTTTATAAACCAAAGCTAAAACAAGAATAAATGAGATCTTTGCAACATATTTGCTTCATTGTGATGCTTTTCAGGTTGAACAGGGAAAACATTTCTAAACAGCAGCTCTAATACAGAGATTCCTGTAGCCGAGCAATTAACTTCCATGCAGAGCCAAATTAAATCTATTCTTCCTCTTGACATGTTGCTTCATGCATGAGTACAGCCTGCCTGTTAAGCACATATAAAATGGAGAACCTTTGCTGACAATTAATAGGATTTAATAAGAAGAGTGGGGCTGTATCAGTGCAGAAGGAGGGGACAGCACTGAGGGTCAAAGCAAGATTAAATGTACTGTGCAAATATTAAAAATTGGAGTTTTCACATCTAAAAATTGCATAAATAAATTCAAATAACAGCAATTATACTTTGAAAGACAAGCACATATAAGCATGGCCTGTGCCTGCTGTACTGCATGTACCAGACAATAAGTGTACTGGTGGCTACTGTATCATAAAAGAAAATGCCCGGAAATTTTTTTTTTTTCTTCCCCATTTGAAAATAATAGCATCAGCTGTTTAATGCAAAGACTGCAGGATAAATGAGATGTGGTGGAGCCCAAGTAAAGAGCAGGGTGCAACCAGAGCTGAGCATAGGGGTATTCCCTTCACTGTGAATGAAGTGAAGGGGACTGGCATGGTGAGGCAGTGAGGGGCTGATGAGAATGTTAAAGAGGCCGGAGGAGGATTTCCCTCAGCTACGGTATCATCGGCGAGCCCAGGCTCATGCTCATCCCCTCTCTGTCTGTCAGTAACTGAATCTATTCTTTTCCACTCTATTTTTTAATCTTTCTTCTCCTCTGTGGCCTGAATGTGCTAAAAGATATTTGTAACGTTATCACATGCTAAACCAAAAGTGCAGGTTCCTGTCTCCATCCTGCAATTACCCAGCAGCTGCACTGCAAACAAGGTCGACGCATCTTTTGTGGTCTTCAAATGAAAGACAAAAACAGGGATCATATTTATGAAAAGGGGATAACGAGGTACACGCTGCTTGCTAACACTATTTTTAGCATGAAAAACTAAAGCAAGCTTTTATTTTTCTCTGCCTTACTTATCTACTGCAGCATTGTTTTCTTCAAGGTTGATATTTTTTGTGGGCAAATTTCAAATACTTTTCAGTCTTTCTTTCTGCCTCTTTCTCAGGCTCTCTGGCTGGTAACAGCTCTGCCTCTCCTCTCCTCTCTGATGTGCAGCGTGGGCGTGCTGCTGGAGCCTTGGTGAGTACAGCAAAACAGCAACTAACAGTGCAGAGGCAGACAAAAGCTCACTGCTCGCTCACCGCGCTGCTGCTGCTGCTGCCGATGGGCTGCAGCATTTCAACCTGCTAATATGATATATAATGGAATTTGTAAGCTGTTCAGGCCCAGCAAGCCTTTGACGGATGTTGACGTGTAAGAGGTTAACTAAGTTCACCAGCAAAGGAAATAAACACAAAATCTATGACATATATAATAATGTGTTCTGGTGAAAAATCCGATTAAATAACATTAGAAACTGTTGCTTTTCCTTTCAATCATCATTGTTTTTCACATTAGATTGATTTGTCTTGCAGATGAATTTATTCCCATGCATTAATATTTCTTAAACTGCATGTTAACATGACGATAGTACATTACCTGTTATTACCCCAACACCGTCTTCACAATCGTAGTCTGAGATCTCACTGTCACTAATCCTCTGGGATCCTTTGAGATGAAGAGACAGAGAACGATGGGAACATGGAGGAGAGGAAAAGGAGGAACAGGAGAGAAAGAGACAGATGGAGACGGGGGAAATGGGGAAACAGGAAGAAGTCATTTACACTCCCTGGTTCATTCATTCAGCACCACAGTACCAATTGTTTGTATTATTCCTCCCTGGTCAGACTCTAATCTTCATTGGTTAAACTGAAGATTGTACATATGCTGTGACTGCATATAGTGTCAGTCTCTAACATATGTCACTGCACTCCACAAATACAACAAACCGTCCTGCAAGAGAGCGTTCCAGATTATATATATGTGAAAATATGCGTCAGCCGTAACAAATAATGCTGCATTTTGCTGCTCCACTTCAACAAACACAGCACATCTCTCTTCATCTGAACTGTGACACTTTTAAATGACACACTCAGTCACTCAATTTACATGTGAAGGTGCGGGCGGGAGAAGTGGTATGGCTTTACAGCTCTTTCTTCATCCTCCCCACTTGCCTTATCACCTCTCCCTGTCCCCTCTCTTTAAAGTATGACACCCTCACTGCAGCCCACCCCTCCAACCCCTCCCCTTCCCGCCTTCACCGTTCAGTCAACTTAAATCAACTGGACACGTGTGCTTTTTCAGAAATGACAAGTGCTGCACTCTGGCAGTGCCGCTCCCAACCTCTCATCTCAGTTGGCTGGAAACTTTTTACAGCTGTCAGCTCTTTCACCTCACACTAACACAAACACCCAGAAAATCGTCCTGGTGGGGAAGTGAGCAAGTCTTAAGTGTCTAGCGGAAGCAGTACAGTGACTACAGTGCAGTCATCTAAAGCATGTTAACCAGTATCTGGTCACAGAATGGAAAAGCGGCGAGGGCGGGGCCAAAAGAGCTATTTTGGGTTTTGCATAGAGGAAATATAACACTAGAAAATAATATATTATGCACAAAGATAATCAAAGCATTCTCTTTTTGTTTTAAATATACCATCACTGTTTCACATGATTAAGAATAATAAGTATAAATAAAGAATAAAAAGTATCACACCAGGAACAGAGTCATCGGCCATTTCCTAAGACAATTTCATAACATATTCACATTCACGACACACAAACACAAGCAAAGCAAAATGGGCTGCAGAAGTCTGCCAACAGTTTTTTATGCTATTCTAAAAGGGAAAATATTCATAATGGACAAAATAATAAACAGTATACAAAACATAACAGAGGAAAAGCAAGTGGTCACAATCAAATTATATTTTCTGGCAGGACTGGCAGACAGCCTGAGTTTTTATAACACCACTTTAGGATGAGGATCAGGATCGAGTGCAGTTGTTCAGGATATGGTTGCGGGTTGCGAGATGGGATTGTGAGATATTTAACAGGTGAATACACAGAGAGGGAGAGACCACTGTGTCCCAGATCTCTCTTTCCCTCGAGTGTGCATGTGTCTGCTGCCAAACAAGTAGTGTAAACTCGACACCAGCTCACCACACTGAAATCCATGTAAGGCAGCAGAAACATGCACCCTTCATGGAAAAAGGGGCGGAGAATCAGGGCACAAGGATGCATCTTTCAAAAGGACAGGAGAACACTCAGATGCTCCATAGAGCAGCGCTGCCTGCAAGTGCAGGGGTCCTTTACCTGAGTTGTATGAATATGAGCCTTTGTCTGTAAAAGCAGAAGCAGTAGGGTTGATGTAACATGGATGACAAAGACAAAATGTGCATAAATTACAAAGTGGTTATTCTGACTTCACTATTCACTGCAGGTCTTGTAACGGTAGTGTTCCTAGCATGTTGGCAATATACTGTACTGTCTTTAAACACACATTTCTTTGTGAGTATGACAGTGTGGTTTTACTTCAGTTAATAAGAGCAAATCCCAGGGCTGAGTTATCAGCAACCTGAAAAAAACATGTGTTGTTACCTCCACCTAGGAGGCTGTTTTCACCCGTGTCTCTTTGTAATAAAAGTAAAAAACTGAACCGAATTGCATCAAATCAAGGATGATGGTGGGATGCGATATGGGCCAGAGAGGAACCCATTCAATTTTGGTGCCAATATGGTTAAAGGGGCGGATCCAGGAATTCTTTTTATCACTTAACATTGTGAGATAAGGCATTTTCAAACATTTTTGTCAAATCTTAAGAAATAATGTGGATGTACAAAAAAAGCAGATATATACATGAGGTTCAGATCTATGACTTTGTACAATTTGGTGCACATCCAGATAATAGTCTGGATCTGACAGACATGTGTAGGATTGTTAGTCCTTGGCGGAGGTATGCGTTTTTCTGAGTGTCATTCTCGGTGGTAACACACCGCAAAACAGCTCAATATCTCTGTCAGCTCTTTCTAACTAACAATTTCCTGATGAGCAGTTAAAAAAGATATTCAGATCTCATTGACACAGACAAGATGGATCTTACTGGCTTTTTACTCGAGTGTTGCAAATTTTTGTTTATCTGTCCTGCACCAGACAAAAGAAAATCAGCTGCCCTGGCTCTATGTATTTTTCAGCATAACATTTAGAGCTGTGTGACATGTGTCAGGGACGGAGGCATTACATACTCTGCAGCCTCCTTGTTGGACTCTCTCCATGGAGCTGCCTGCGCTGTGTGTTTGGGGAGGCACGTGGGAGCGGGATGGAGGATACATCGTGTGTTTGTAGCTTGTACCAGTGTGGCTCGTCATCCAGAAGAGCAGTCTCCAGCTCAATCAGGATCTGTCAGAGGGAAAAGGCCATGGTAAGGTCTCTTACCTCAAACATGTCCACTGATGGAAATGCAGCAACACACAACATACACTGGTGCCACAGTTCTCATAGAGCTCCTCCAATGAGCGTCAGTCCCAAACAAACCCTTCCCTCTTGTGTGGTGTGTTCATTCATCAGAAGAGTTTTACAGAGAAAATGAAAACAACTAAGTTCCCTGTCGACGTTGGACAAAGACTGGACCACCAAAAACCTTGTCATGGCCAATGACCCCATTCAAGAGGCTCAGCTGAGAAACTGTCAGTGAGTGTCCCTGATGGGTGGGGTTGGGTTCTCTTACCTCTCCCAGGAATTCACTCTCCTCCTCCCTCACCCTGGCTTGGTCCCATAATGTGATCTCCAGCATGCGCTCCCGAAACTCCCGCCGGTGCACCGGCGAATACATAAAGGTCTGGTTCCATTTGGGCTCTAAGGATTTCTTTACCGTTTTTGTTCTCCTCTTGCTTTTGTCGCTGGAGGAACAATAATTCAAACTGTTTTTATTTACAACCATGATAGAGAAGAGCCACGAATACAACAGATCAATAGCACAACACAGGACAGAGTACAGCACTGTGGCATGCTGGTGGGGATGAGATGGCAAGACGACTGTACTATCGTTCGGAAAAGGGCCACTTCCTGCATCAGTGCATAAAAAAAGAACTGCTTAACAAGATGTAAAACTACACTGAACAACCAACAAAGTAAATGGACACATCCACAGATATCTATATTTCCTTTCCTGATGCTAATGGCTAAAAACAATAACACAGAACCTTGCGTTGACATCAATGCCCCCCAAAAAACCCACACTAATACCAAATCTACTTTCTAAAGATTATTATGAGTCTGTGCTGTCGACTAGTGTTCAACTGCTTTCTGAAAGAAATAAAATGAAATGGTATTAAGTGACTGTGGTGGGTAAAATAAGCAGATCAGCAGATGGTAGCTCTTCCTACTCTTACCTTCTATCAGGGAGGAAATAGATTTTGACATAAGGGTTCCTGGGCCGACCATCTTCCCTGGGTGGCAGGTCTTTGGCGCCCAGGATGGTGACGATTAGTTGATGGCCCACTTTGTCGTACCACAGTTTGACCTGCAGGGGCAGAGCAGAGACGGCCTGCTGAGAGACAGCTCAGGGCTAACACGAGTAACAACTCACACAGGGAATAATGCAGGAGAAGACAACGTCATTAAGTTAGAAATTAAGTAATTACATATGCGTTTATGTCTTTTATTAAGGCCTATCTCATTTCAAGCGACAGTGTTTGACTACAGCATTGGGTCTTCTCCTGTATTTACCCTTCAGAGAAAAGGAGCAAGTTGTCTACCTGCTAAAATGATGTCAGGTCACATGCTTGGTGGGGGAATTTCTCAAAGTGTTCATTGAAACATGGACTTACTGTGTCATTGTTAACATGGTATGATGTTAAAAATGTCAAAATAAGATATTAAAATATGAGTGATACTTTAATATCTACATTAGAGACCCTCCTTTAGTGAAAAGATGTGTTTTTCATTTGTGTGCATGGTGCCATATTTTTATTATATGATCTGTATTCATCATGTTTTTTTGGTGTGTTTGTTTTAAAATGTCTTTATGATGAATAAACTGGCCTGAATGTCATTATAACTGAAGTAAAATGCTAAAGGCAACATGCTCTAAAATTAACAGCATGTGCTCTGTTGAAACGATACTGTGTGTCAGTGATGATGATGTATCTAATAATGTTCTTCCAGATATTCAATGGGCATTGATGTGGAGAAATCAATCATGCTGTTGCAGGAGGAATCGAAGACAGTTCACACTAAAAGGGAAGTATGGACTCCAACAGAAGACACTTAGAAGAAGAAAAAGTCCAACTGAAGCCTTAAAGGAAGGAGATGAAATGAGAAATAAAACTTCTAAGCTCTTGTCCATACTTCTTTAAAATATGATTATGGGAAGGGTCTGCACTGTTTAAAACTACTGGCTATACATGCAGCAACGCAAGAGGGGGCATTCAAGATCTGGTATCGGGAAAAACAGACAGCAGGGGGGCTTATTGGAAAACAAATTGTACCAAATAATCTCTAAACTCATAGCCCACCAAAATACCAGATACTGCAAAATGGGAATATACTGTCTCCACATTCACCTTGGAAACTGAACGATTACATAATGTGTGATAATACACATTGTCCAATTGTAAACTGCTCAAATATACAACATCTAAGTGACTTTACAACGTGACCAGCCGAATAATTAACTGAGACATACGCACTTTTCCAAGAGTACAAAACATACAAACACACACACGCACAAAGATAAAAAAAATATTTACCTCAATTCTAACTCCACATCATGTGTTTAGACACTTTGAAATTTAAGAAACACACGCTGCTTATCTTTTCAGAAATCTGCATGCTCCACTATGTGTAGTAACAATATTCTCACATCAGATTCATACAAAGTTTGTTGAGGGTACTCTTGAGTAAAACAACACAACAGTGTCAGCAAGATAAATATCCAAAGCTCCGAGGAGGAGTATTAACCTTTAGGCTAACCGAATCAAGAATAGACAGTCACACAAAGTGATTCTATCACGTGTCATAAAACAAAAACCACAGAAAAGACAGCCTGATATTTACGATGACAGATTAAAAGAGACCCTCACAGCGAAGGAAATCCTCACAGCTGTGCCCGGTTTGAAGTTTGTTATTTGGGAGGTACAATTTGCTTATTCTTTAACTCTCATCTGGAAGGTTAAATGCAATTTGGTTTCCAAACAAGGACGGTGAACTTGGTATCTTTTCACTGCAACATCAAACTCCAGACCCATTAACCATGATCTGCTAATTGGCATCACTTCAACTCGCACATGGAGGAATCCGCCTGTAGATGTATGTAGGGTTGGAATTATTAAGGCCTGGGTTAATGTCACACTGAAGCAGAAAACAACCCAAGTCCTTTGTCCTAGAAAAAATCATGGAGACACCCTCCAGCATTGCCGTGGTGGAGATCCCAAAGAAGTACTACAGAAGATGGGGTCAATCACTAGACCATAGAAGAAGAAATCAGGCAATGGAAGAGTGTCTCTTCAACTGTGTTCAGATTAGTTGAACGTGCACTACTTAAGAATAATGATGTGAATGGGTTAAAATGAGTAATAAAAACTGTCATCATAACAGTGATACCAAGAAATAAAATAGAGGAAAATGACAATGCACTGCACTGAGAGGGAAACTTGAAACTGCCATTTCTCAGGGAATGCATTTTCCAAAGTATGGGAAACAGAAAAAAGGCCAGTCAACAGTCAATGAGCAAAGACCAAATAGAGAGTGTGCCCTGCAGACAGGGCCCATTACCTGGACCCTAGGGGCAAAAGGCGTTGTTCTTCTACTAAGGCTTTGGCTCTGGATAAGCAAAATTAAACAGCAAAAAATAAAGAAAAAGAAAGAAAAGAAAAGAAAATGCAATAAAACCAAAACCCCACAAAACAACAAAAACTCACAATACACTATAAACACAACAACAGAAGTTTGGAGTTTCAGATGGGAGATTCAGGTCAGTGAGTGTGTTCTTTCTCACCTTTCATTTATATCTGTGCTTCTCTGCGTCTTTCTACTTAATCAAAGATTACTTGTCCCTGAGCTTCTCTGCTCTGTTCTGCACAGGCCCTTTGAGCAAATTATCAATGGCTCACAATTATCTCCCTCTTTCTTCTCTGGACCTTTTCTTGTCTGCTTCAGAGCTTGCGTCACAGTGACGTTAACCCCAGTTGTTATCCTTTCGCACAATTTAAAGACTGCTCCAAAAATATACTGACAGTTGAGTCTGTGTAGAATTATTCATCAGGCACTGCATCTCTTACAAGGTTTATTCAATGAACTGTTCACTGTTTCAGTGATTAGCTGTTTTTTTCGGGGATTTCAAGGTCAGCCCTCTCATGGAAATACAGAACAGAACAGGTATAATAGGTAAGGTTGCAGAGCTTATTCTGATTGGCTGACAGGATGCAGTCGATGAGTCTATGGGACAAATGGTGAATATTTACATTCAATCTCAATGTTAGTCAAACCCAGCCATGTCTCATAAATATCGATGTTAGAAAAACATGTCCTCGAGGTGTTCCCAGATGCTAAAGCTATTTCCCATGTGGATCCTAAAGTTGAGTGTGGATTTATCTCTTGCTTTAATGCAGCCTTTTACCCGTTTACCCCAAGAGGGATTTTATACTAGATAATGGACAACACACATGGTAACCTGATCTACAATCCTGTGCTAGGTTGGTAAAGCGCCAGCTGAACAGGCAGAGTGAGAGGAGCTGTGCCTGGTAGCTCTAACAGTGGTTTCAACTAGGATTTTAGTCATATTTTGAGTCACATAATGAATCAACAATGTGAATATTTTACTCACTAACCTCACTAATCTTATTCATATGACTTTAACACAGAACGAATCAATCAAACAATGCCGCCCCTCCAGAGGATCTCACGTGTAGTCTTTACGTCATGCTCAGGTCACTTACTGAAAGCTGTCCTGACAGGTACTGGGGGGCGTCCCTCAGCATACTGGGACTCATGGGGGATGTGACGGAGATAGACGGGCGATCCATCTTCTGAGACTCAAAAGAACTCGAACCTGACGGGGCACAGGCGACACAGTGAGATTACTAAGCAGCGGTGTTGCTTTTTAGATTTTAGTTTCAGTAACGTGGGGAGAGATAAAACAAGAGAGGAAGGGTTGGGAGTAACAAAGATAGAGAGACGCAAGAGGAGAGACAGGAAGAGGACAGGAGACCATGCCGTGAGAAGACAGAAATACAGAGAGGCAGAGTGACAGAAGCAACTCTCAGACATTTCCTTCACTTGATGTTTCTAGGCTGATTAATGGGATAAAATGGGATAATAACATCGGCTAATGATCTTGACAAGACTCACTTGATTCCAGTTGTGCATGTGTGCTGTCTGGTATCCTTGGAATATCTCTGATAAAAAAAAAAAATAAAAAAAAAAGAGAGAGTGTGAGTGTGCGAGGCAGAAGAGGAGGAGGGGTTGGAGAGGATCAATCTGAGCTAATGCTGAACGCACTGTGCTGTAATGACCGTAAGCACTGCATTAGTCTTCATTTACCCAGCATCTCCCTCAGCAGTGCAAAGCAGGTCAGATATAGGAGCTGACAAAGAAAAGGTGCCGCTGTTTCCCCCCCCCCACAATTTCCCCATTCGAAAACAATTGGAAGGAGAGAGCGCAAGCCAGGTGGCAGGCTTTTATTCTGCTGGGCGGTGGAGTTCGGTCCCAAACGATGCCCGAGCCGACAGAGCCGCAGCCGGGGGGGAGGGAGGGAGGAACAGATGTTAAATAAACCAGTCGGCCCGCTCCTTCATAAACACATTCTGTGAGAACACCAGCTATTTTCCCTCTTGGACTTCCCTCTTCATGGCTCCATATTATAGAGAATTAAATACAATTCAAAGTTAGCCTGAGTCATAAAGGCAGTGACGTTACATGAATGAGCCATACTGTATTGTACTGTAACAGCTCTTAGAGGAAGGCTATGAATGGGGGTGATGAAGGTAAATGACATAGTCTCAGTCTGATGCATAATCCCTGCTCTAATCAGTTTTAATTTGTGATGTAGATGTTGTTCATGCATGTCTACTGTAAAGACATTGATTCTTAAAAAGTCTTTGTTCTGACTGACTACATCACATCTGAAACCATTCTGAAATTCTTAAAAAAAATACATTTTACTGCACAACAGATGCATCAATATTGAAAAGCTCTTTAAAAAAATCAACATTTATAGCTGTAGATGTTACCGACAAACCACTATGTTTAGCTGCTCGGCAAAATAGTAACATGTAGTTTGGTTCATAAATTCATCCACTCAAGGTGATTGTTCCTTTTTCAGGGTCACAAAGGCCTGGAACTTATCCCAGCATGCACTTGGTAAGAGGCAGGACACTCTCAGTCCTGGTGTTACTTGTTATTGGCTCAATTAAAATGTTCAAACAAATATTTAACAAAGACGAGAAACTTGTGTTCAGAATGCTTGGTGTGGTATTTTACAAATTCAGCACAGACCGTTCTCACACCTAACAACTTAGTCACTGTCAACAGGGGCGTCTTGTTGTTGTCTTGTGAAGAGTATAACGTGTGTGTCATTATTTGTGAGCTCTCACCCTATAGGCCGTGAGACCACTAACTCCACCTGCGGCTCAGGCTTGGATTCTAGTATGATATTGTAAACTTCTTTAAATGTGGCTCCTTGTAAAAGCTTCCCGTTCCACTCCAGCACCTGGTCACCTGCAAAAACACCAGAGATACTCAGTATCACATGGAATATTTCAATCTGCCACTACCTGTGTCGTCACAGTGTAAAAAATACATATCATTATACAACAGTTAGTTCTGACCAAGCAATTTGATTGGATGAGAGGCATTCCATGAGCGCTGATATAGAGTACAACAGCACCTTTAACTACATGTATCGCTCCGCTTCACAGGTGTTCTGTTAACCGTTAATTTGCGTTACATTAACGGTGGTTATCTTTCTTAGATTGTAACAAACTTTGCAAAGATGAAAATATTTCCAGAAATAACATTTGAATTAAATGATGTGTGGTCGTCAGAAGAGGATGAATAGAAGAAACCTGGATGCTTCAGCAGTAGCAAGCTAGTGTGCAAGTCAGGAAAATGTTTATGTTGCTTAGCAACAGTCCAATACCAGTCCAGTTGTGGAACTCCTTGTGTTGGTGTAGCCAAATAAATGATATAAAAACATATAAACAAACAAATCATAATCTGTTGTTGCTTACTTAACTAATATGGCGCTTGTAGAACTGTTGTATAAAAGCAATATCACACTCAAGGTTGTGACGTTGTACTGAATACCAGCACGGCTCTGATTGTCTACGGTACGAGACCGCAGGCCAAGCTGATATTCAGTACAACATCACTCCCTCTCCTGGGATATTGCTTAATTATGTACCTCTAGAGCATGCTGAATACTACTAGATCCTGTCATTTCATTTCTATAGAAAAAACTGGGTCCGTGTTTTTAATACCTGGTCTGAGGTGTCCAACAGTGTCTGCTAGACTTCCTTTCCTCACTTTTGTGATGAAAGCACAAAGTCTACCAGATTCTGTCATCTTGCCTCCCACCACCTGTAAAAGCAGAGAGGTGACTGGATTAGCAGTGAAACACAAGTGTAAACTAAACCTGAACTGTGAGTGTTACTATAGCCACAGCATTAATGTGCCATGTTTACTCTTCATGAAGATGTAGCATGTGTAGGGCAGCTTGCAGGAGTAGATTTTTTTTCCAAGTGTCCTGTTGATGTCGTTGCTTTAGCTCTTGCCTGCAAGGTATGAATGCTCAATAAAAGCATTACAAGGAGAGGGGCAATGGTAAAAGTGCATCTCTGTTTTTTAACAAATGTCCCGGGCTACACTTTATTCCCCAGAGACACACTCTGGTGCCTCTCTGTGGTTCTGTAACAGTACAGGGCCGTGGGCTAGAGCTGTACTGTACAGTCCTGAGCTGCTGTACTCCACTCTGCTCAGCTTACATGGGCATCATACAAATAAAAATCCCTCTTAATGGCAGCTGAATGCCAACATACAAAGGAGCTTAGGGAAGTCTGCTAAATGAAATGGCTTTATGTAACAGGCAGGAGCCAGAGAGGGAGGCTCGCAAAGGAACAGAGAGGGAGAGATGGGCAGCGAGGGCAAGGCTGGCAGCCTAACTGATGGACTGACTGGCTGGATTGCCGAGGTGGTTGGCTGCTGCTGAGCGGACAGAAACGCACAGAGGCACTGAGCAGACACAAACATGCCATTTCAGGAGGCTCATTCAATCAGTAATGATTTTTCCCCATCTTGCTGCTCTCTGTTCTCTCTCCTCATGGCCCACCATGCTCCTCTGGACTTTGGCTGCTCAGCTTATTCCTGTTTTTTTTTTCCAGTGTACACCACCTACAGATTTATGCAACAGTTAAGAGAGAGAAGGGAAACCAAAGTATCTACAACACGTATTTTATATTTTGGCAATGCAGTGAAATCACAAACTGACTGAAGGTTTAAGTCATGTAATCCAAGAGTAAGAATATAAGTAAGAATATATATATTAACAGAATATAAATAAATATGTAGGGGTTGTGTCAATACATTAACACTGAAATAACTGTGCAGTGTGTCAGATGTGAGCAGTGACAACACTGACTTGTTTCCTCTAAGAGGCAGAAAGCAGTTCATTAAAGCAGTTCAACGTGAGTGAGTACAGAAAATTATAGAGCTCAATATCAAATGCTGCTAATTAATATTCATCAGGAAAATAATCAAGTCCCTAATGAATATTAATACTGAGTAGCACTATGATGTAATCAATAATTGGAAGCCAAGGAGAAAATCAGTGAGCCACACACAAAAATGAGGCCACAAATATATATACATACATATATATATATATATATATATATATATACACCACAGCTGAGAAGTTAGATGTTAACAGAGAAAGAGGGAACTCAAATTTACCCAGAATTCTTTGGCAAGACATATTCTGTGTCATATACTGTTTGTTCCATGTGTGAAATTTAACATGCTATTTTGGAAGTAGCATGATGGTGCCACAGCAGACAGCATGACGGTCCAGTGCAAAATTTTCAGTGTATGCACAAACAGACAGGTAAACAGACATATCATAAGCTCACCTTCAGACCAAGCAGAGCTCCTGAGTCTCGAGGCACACTTCCATCTTTCATTCGCTTGTTGAGCAAAATACGCCCTATTAGGCGATCCCCATCTTTGGACGGCTGCCACGTCACCGGGTGCTACAAGGTCAGAGCGACAACACACCTTTTGTTTAACAACTCATCCACTTGAATTTGATCACTTCAGACCAAAGCAGACAACTGTCCATAGTGAAAGGGGGGCATGGGGGAAGTATTTATTCACTCAGGGGACAAAGTTCACACAAACTCTGGTGGCATCGTCAAGACTTTTTTGTTTCTTTAGATAACAGCCAGCTCAGTTATTTAAATTCTAAATGAAGGAATGTTATGATCCTAATTATCGACAAAAGTATTGATGAAAACCTGACAACTTTTACAGCAAATTACAGCTCATAAATACAACTCGACAATACCATTAGGTGTTACTTCCAGAGCTTGTGAGAACCTGCCAGTGTGAAGGTGGAGTGAGCTCATGCAGCGCCCCATGCAGAGTAAAGCAAGCAGCCCCAACACTCCTCCTCAAACCAGCTCTTCAAACTGGAGCAGGAAGACCGGAGTCTCACTCCGGTGCTTCACTACACACACACGACCACCATCGAGTGGAGTAGTGAGGGGGTAGCAGACAATGAAAAAAGGGGGAAAAAGATCATCTATGATACAAAAACAAATGAGGTAGACTATGAGGCATCAGTTCATAGAAGAGAAAGGATGAAAAAACGAAAAGCACAGAGTAAAGCCATGAGACACAGAGAGGGTGGAATCACAGATGCGGCAGTGGAAGGGAAAAAAGAAAAACAAATGTTTTAGTTTTTGTGCAAAACAAATCCAATCTTCCCTGTTTTGTGCTTTTACAGTAATTTGAGTTTTGCTATAGAAGTGAATGGAAAGTTGGGCAGGAGGCAGGTTCTGTCTGGACTGGGTGCTGTGGGTAGGGCAGCAGAGTGACAGGGACGGGCCTGAGTAAAGGTGTTCCCACTGCACTAAACAGGACCGCTGCAGAGCAAGAACACAACATACGGAGGAGAACGAGCATGCAACTAGGAGAGACCCACATTCCTGTGTGCCATGACAAACAGAGAGGTTGTGTGTCAATGCTTTTCTTTAACAACTTCTGTAAGATGTGTAGTTTCTGTTTGGAGAGCAAAACAGCAAGTACAAGTAGCAAGCAAAGAGGGTGCCCCCAAAAGACTTTTTCGGCAACACCGAGCAAGGTGGAGCCAAAAGTAACCGAAAAACAAAAAGGAACGAAATCGCAAGAGAAATCAATTTATACGTCAAATAAAATCCAAAAAACAAACATCTCACCTATTTACACTTAGTGACAGAGAGCAAACAAAGACTGGATGGGTAGGTAAATAATAATAATAATAATAATAATAATAATAACAAAATGCAGGCTAGATTGTCTCAGTACCTTCTCACTATGGCTATGCTCCTCGTTTAGGGTAGTGCTACTGCACGTATCAACTCCCGAGTCTTTAACCTGCGGTTCACACCATGCCAAGTCCTCTTCAAATGAGTGTCCCCCAAAGCGCACCATTTTCTTTTGCCTCTCAGATAAGGTGTGTGTCGGCTCGGACATAAATGCCTGCTCAATAGTTTTTCTTTTTCCCCTTTGACTGTCCCCTACAGGTGTGGGATAAAAACAGAAAGAAAAACAGAAAAACAACATGCAAAGGTGTAAATAAAACGAAGGAAACATGAAATGACAAAAGACTCTAGGAGAAGGGGGGATGGGGGGAGGAGAGAGACAGAGAGAGGGAGAGAGATATTGGGGTTATGGGGCAGGAGGGAGGGGAGGGGGGTCAAGGCAGGGCTCCACATGTCTCACCAAAGACATTGGGGAGGCCTCGCTGCTATGCCAAGACGCATGGTCCCACCAATGGCCATCCAAATCTCCTGTAAGGTGGGGGGGAAAGGGCGCACATACACAAGAGAGGACAGCGAGAGGGACCAGTGAGGACACCACGAACCACAACGTACAGACATCAACATATGCACACACACACACACACACACACACACACACACACAATACACACTCAAGACTAAACAAGACATCCAGACATACACGCTCACACATACTGCTCAAACTCAAAGGGTGATCATCATGTGCATTTCTATGATCCCTGTGGAGAAAGAAAGATGTAGCTCAGATCATAATACATAAAGGATCAATACTGACTTGACCACCTCAACACTGTACAGAGAGGGAGGGACAGAAGCCGCCTGCGCTCTCAGCCACACAATTCTCAGTTTTCACATTCCATTCATGGCCATATGGTTTCTTCCTGTATTTCCATGTTTTGCTTGTCTTCTCTGCAGGACACAAGAGTAAATCCCAGCACTCACTTACTGGCAGGAGGAAAACAGCCTGTAAGCTGCATATCAAGACAAGCAAGACCAGACCTCTACCTCCAGACGAGTCAGAGTTTCTACTTAAAAGGTCTTAAACATGCTCCACCTGCACATCATGGGAAAACTCTTCTTATAAAGCCAGACAACATGTAAACTCAGCTCAAAATCAAAAGATTAGAATCAAAAATGTTCCTGCGACATTATTTCGTTTATATTCACTTTTTCAGAATGTTCCACTTCTACAGGCTTCAACAGGCATTTCACATTGATCTGAATGACCAAAGGTTTGATTTGTTATGAAACGTGCTGTATTGCTTTACAATGGGATCAAGAATCCACATCTCTCTGTGAGAGAAAAAAAAAATAGGTTTATGCAAAATATGGGAAATGTGGTTTTAATTCTGAGAAAACACTTAAACTGATGCCGCTTCCAAATGCTCATACGTAGTATTATTTGTTTACTACGGAAGAGGATTAGGACCACATGTGGAAAAAAAATGATTTTTTTTTTTGAATTCTGACTTTAATCTCAGAATTCTGAGAAAAAAGTCAGAAAAAACTAATCTCTTCCATACTTTACAATCTGGTCTCAAGTTAAAACACTTGAAGGAAAAAACAGCAGAGGCGCTATTTAACACAGTAAATGTCTTATGTTTAATGAGTGCAGCGATTGTTTATGTCATCATGACACGTCAAGATCTGAGTGGTTTAACACAAAAGGTAAACAGTTTCCTGAGACCCTCGTGGTCACTGTGTAATGAAACCGTAACACATTCCTGTACTTTCCCATATGTTGCTTCAAAGCTGCAGATTTGTGCACAGTCATAAAGGTGTATTAGTCTAAAACTAAGGCTGATATTTCCTCTCTCTCCTGGAACACTTTACCCCTTTTATTCTCATCTTTATTTCCAAAGAACACTCTTGGCTGGGACTCTTGGTTCAAATCAGTAGACAACAATGCACATTTTGTTCCAACAAAGTTAGCATGCTGCTATCTTATCCTACAGTAGCTGCATCTGTGGGAGGGAGCAGGGCAGATCTTTAATGTGTTTAACCGGATGATTCAGATTGCAGTGCCACACATGCCTTAACTGACCTCAATCTAAAGTGCACCAGGGAGAGCTTTAAAAGATGAGGCTCTGATTACAACTTCTGTAGTAGCATCAGCGGACACAGCCTTGAGAAATACAGACGGGGGAATTACAGGAGGTTTCTGGGAGGATTTTTATTTTACTTTTCTAATCAATGCAGCTGATGGGTCAGACAGTAACTGCAGGTGGTAAGACCCTGCAACCCTATCTCACGCAGCAGATGTGATATATCCATCAAGAAAACAGAGAGTACACGATATTTGAAACAAACGTAAACTCGCTGTGAGTATTTGATCTGATGGAGAGGCATGTCTGCAGAACTAACTTTGTCATTGTACAGGATTTGCCCTGTTCTCCCATGTGGATGCACAGAGCAGAGAGATGGAGAGCACTTTCAATTTGATTAAGAGGCTTAAAAATCAAAGCTAATTAAAAAGAGTAAAAAATATTGAATCCAAAGGTGGTGCGAAGATTCCCAATGGAGAGTAGTACGGAGGCAAAGAGTGCTGAGGGTTGAGGCCGACCAACTGAAAAAATAATTTGGGTTGTCAGAGAGGGGCTGCCGTTTGACTGCAGAGGAAGTGGTGATTTCTTTGTCCCCAGACCTTAGTGTGTAGCATATCTCTGCATTTAACACCCCATTATGCGGAGGCAATGGGCATTTAAATGTTATTCGCTTACACTGGCAAGTCATTTTACAATTCAGTAATAAAGTGTATTAAGAAATGGTCCTCATGAAATTGCTGTTATTAAAGCATATAAAGGATGAGTCATTTAAATAATACAGAAAGCCTATTTGGTACTGACAGGCCTTCAGCAGACACTGGTCCACCACTTGTACATGTGCTGTTGCTATACTTGGGAGTTTGCATGAATGTATGTAGCTGTAGTGAACCTCAGGGCAAAGGTAAGGCTGTCTGAAAACACTGTGTTTGCGCAGCCCCTGAGCCATATACATCACATTTCCCACACTTCACTTCCCCTGCAAAGAGCTGGAGAACCTAATGGATCTATACAGGACAGGCCTCCTTCAGGCATTATCTGGCTGAGGATTCAATCTCAGGGAAATCAGGGAAGTCTGATGGAAAGGAATAAAAATAGACTGCATATACTTCTGAATGTAGAGGATGAGGCGATGGGGGAGCGGAGCACACAAGAGTAAAGAGGAAGAGATTTTCAATATAGAAAAAAAGAAGATGCATGGAAGAAGAACGCCGCGTAAAGATGGTGCCACTGTGAGTAAATATAGCCACAGCTTCATGTCTTCTAACAAAATGAGAATACACACACAACTGATGCAGAACTGAGGTGCCTAACATACTGACAATGAAGATCAAGTTTTAAAGGATAATTCAAGTTTATTACAACTCGACTGACACAGGTTCCTGTTTACAGCCTTACAGCAGTTTACCATACAATCTAAGACAACTTCATTAAAGGCAAAAAGAAAAGTGATCACACCTGAAATGTCACAAATAAGCCTCATCGCACTTGCCTGTCTCTCTGGAGCAATCTGGGTTCAGTATCAAGTTAATGGACAACCTGTTTTTCCTCCTGAGCCACAGTTGGCAAAGTTAAGCTAACTGAGTGCTTTTGTTTCTCACACTCTCCTTTTAGCAATGTCACCGTCTTCCCATATGTCAGCATTTAATTAAGTGAGAGCGAAGTGATTATTGTTTATTGGAATGATAGCCAACAGATAACAAAGACATATTTTGTGTCAATTTTCTAATTTGGCATTATTTCTGCCATTGAGCTTCAGAAGTGGTGTATTTATATTTTTTACAATACACATATTCATCATCACAGTTGTGACTAAGCGGCAAAGCCCAACAAAGAAAGTGTCCTCTTTCCCTCTATCCCTCTGCTATCACTATCCATCCATCAGTCTAGGGGAGTGCTATAACTACTTACTATACACAGTTATGCACTGTGATAAAACATTATGGATGTCCCCAGACAGGCTTTGCCCTCTGCGGACCTCTAACCAACAGCTGACAACAGTGATTACCCTCTTCGCCTCCCAGTTGCTACTCTGTCGGCAGCGTAAACACCAGAGCACAGTTCAGAGTGGTAGACACTCTCCATTGAACAAGTCACTTGCCTAATGTGGCCATTATAGTTCAAACAGCTTAAGGCCTGCATTTGTAGCATAGAAACAGAGGAAGAAACACTAACAATTCTCTGAATCCACGGTTCAGTTCAGACTTCCGATGACACTCCGCTGTTGTGCTGATGTTTGTGTGGTGGGTTCGGTCTCGGTTTCAGAATCGTTACACTTCTAAATGTATTTTGAGACGGTGAGAGGTTTACATTTATTTGTCTGTTTTGTTGCTATACATAGACTGGAATTAGATGCTACATGGATTATTCCAAGGTTGCAGCAGTCACGGTTTCACCTCCAACCTGTGCCTGTTCTTCCTCCCATCACACTCCTCCACCTCCAGCGGCCCCCCTACCCTGCCCACCCCCGGTGTCTGTCAGGGAGGATCTGAGTGGGCGCCAGGATGGAGGCACGTACAGCCTTTCCCCTTTCTTTCCCCGAAGCTTTATTAACAGTGGCACACCACAATTGGGCACTGATCCCCAGCGAGGCACTGTGTGGTTTTTCAGGGAGCAGGAAACTCATCACGGCCATAAATTGTGAGCATCAGCAGTCTGCGCCCAGCCCTGCCGTTTCGCCCCGGCTCCGAGGCCCGCAAAGTGCTGATTCAGGGCAAAGGCAGAGCGCAGGCAGTGGCGGAGTTCACCACCAGCAGGCTCTCCATCACTTTGACAGCTCAATAAAAACCAGTGTAAACTATTAATTGGATCATTAATTATTGATGCTGTTTTTACTACAATTCAAGGGGCAAGAGCAGAAAAGAGGCAGGGGTGAAACAGTGTGTATGTTTAAACATAGTCACCACGCTAGGAAGGTGATACAGTGTCATGTTAGACCTCTGGGGAAGCAGATCTTAAAACATCAACATATATCCTAAAATAAAAGGTTAGATAACGTCTCTTATTATGCACAGAACACATAACAATCAAGCTATAAAAGGTTGAATTAATGGGAATAATTTTCAAACAACAAGCTTGACAGCACAGACTAAAAATCCAGCAGACTTACTGAGATGCAAAAACTGATCCCAGCAGCCATTAATGAGGATGTAACATAGGCTGTCACTACACAATGTTCACCTCTCTGCTGTAGTTAGCCAGCCAGCCTCTCCTTTTCTGTCTGTTCTGCACTATTATGAGACTGCATGTCAAGGGAATCAATAAAGAGGAAAACACAGGGAGAGGCCATCGCGATAAATCAGTCTCTAGTGCTCGCAGGCACGAGCCAGGCCCATTACAGCAGGCACACCCTTTCTCCTCCAGTCTCCTCCTCCCTTTGGCTTTCCCTCCTTCCCATCCCATCAAGCCCTCCTCTGTCCTCAGTGGCCCCCCGCAGGGTATTGGAGAGTCGAGAGCGTTCCACGCACCCTGCTTAGCCTACTGTTACCCACCCATCTCCTGACCAAGTCGAGCTGATTACACAAACCCCAAGACGCTGATGGGCCGCATATGTCCAAAAGATGCTTTCTGCCCTCTTTTTCATCGCTCTGCCACTATGGCCTGACATGCAGTTATAACTGATGATCTTCTGCTTGTCTGCTGTGGCTTTTCTTTCAACCTTTTAGACTGAAAAGAGGATGTAAATCATAATTATGTCTAAGTATGTAGCATTTAAAACAGCTGTGAAACCTGGTTCTGTTGAAATACATGCTATGTCGTCCTATATCTGCTCCATTTGTAAATTCTATGTTCCACAAAAAAAGGCCGATGTATCTTTATAGCTCTATATCTGACTGTATTATATAAGGTTTTTATTGACTATATCAATACTCTCCAGAATATCACATGTCCAGGTCTGGAGCCTAAAGATTGGATCCTGTCTCTGCTGTCTGTTATATAACTGAAAGAGTGCAAACAAGGACACAGGTTTAAAATAAATGATTCAGTAGAATTTTCTGAACCATTTATCAGACTCCCTGCATGCACCATATCACAGCAGCCTTAATTATGTCATAAATTAATAAAACTGCCAATTATACCTCAATAAAGAGCAGAGATTGCTCCACATAATCAGCTGAGGATGTTATATAGCTATACTTATTCAGGGCAATAGTTGAACTCCTTCCTTTATTTTCCCCCTCCTCTCCTACACAGGCTGACCTGTGGAGGAGGCAGACAGACACAGACAGAAACAACAGAAACTCTGACCCTCACAACAGCCTGCCTTTTCTTCCTATTTTTGTTTCATGGCTACCTGGAAACCTGGAAACTCCCACATCAATAATGTAGTGCCGGTGCTGCTTCCCTTAGTGAGGAGAACAGTTACATAACGGAGCAGACCAACTGAATTCCTCCAGTCTCTTCTAGATTAAACATTTCGAGCATGTGGCAGGTGCTTTGGTCTAGTGCTACTGACAAAAGCAAACTGCGCTGCTGTACTTTCCTCCTGTCTGTCTTTTATTCTTCCATTTGTCAGCCGCTCTTCTTCCTTTCTTTCTGTTTGGTGCTTTTAACATTTCTCAGGTAAAGGCCTCCGTAATTACAGGTTTGACAATAAAATCAATTTGCAATTACAACAACTGTCAACCAGGTGGAGCAGTCAAGAAGCTAACAGCCTAAACAATTGCTTTTGAGGTTGATTCTATGCAAAGTGGCATTTAATTCAGTCACTCTGACTGTTTGCTTGCCAGTGTGTGGTTATACACTTGGACAAGTGCGCTTGTGTCTCTAAGCAGGTAGGACATTCGCCATGAGCGATCTGATGTCCATTTCTATTTTCCTGTTGTAGTTAAACAGCAAGACAGGCCAGGCAAAGCCAATACCAAGCACACCTCTTCAATTAGGCACACTGTGCTAAACTGGACCCACTGCCTGTAGAAATCTTTCTCATTATTATTTCAATGTTTGAGCACAGTTATTGAAATGAAATTGCTGGAGCTAATTTGAAAAATCAGCAGCAGAACGTGCCGTGAAAAAAAACCCTAAAACTGGTGTCAATAAACCCTGAGCAGAGACATGATGTGTCTTTTTACCATCCACCTCAAGCCAGGAGCAGTTACAAGGAATGACATCAGCAGTGTGGTACCAAAACAGTATGGAAGTCAAGAGGTCAAAGCTAACTGAGGAGGTACAGAATACTGCAGGAAAACATACAATCACCCTCTGCTCTTTTATTACCTTCTGCTAATTCCATTCATTTACATGCAGCAGTGATGACATAAAACGAACCAATAAAATACTCTGAAACTGTTATTTACTCAGCTCACCTTGTTTCACTAGACACCCACACCCCAGACCTCTCCATGGTTCCCTCTGTCTGTCAGTTATGTAACAGCGTCCATTAGGACAGACTGATCATGTGAAACAGCTGTGGCGGGACCCGGCAAAGTGTGCCAGCAGCGGCAAAAGGATTAGGCCTTGAGAGCAGTAGCATTACATTCATTTAAAAACACATAACACCCATCCACACTGAAACATATCTGGCTCATGAGCCCACAAGCCTCGTCCTCAAAGGCACCGGAGCTGTGTGAGTAAATTCACGCATAACAAACATAAAACGCAGCAGTGCTTTGCACATACATAAGGCTCATTATTTTCGGGCTTCTAAGATTTTTTTTACTGTAAATGTCGGGACTTTATAGAAGAGACAGAGTGGTGTAAACCAAAGTCACCACACATCAAAGAATTAAATGTTTACTGCAGTTTACAATAAAGAAAGTCCAATAAAGGAGTGCACAGCTCAGAAAGTGGAAACTGAGGAGGAAAATGTGGAGAAAATGCAAATGAGCTGCTCATTATGCACCAGAAAAAAACACATTTAACTTTATTTAAATCTGCAAAATGACAGCATTACGATTTTTGTTACTGATGATACAGATTTCTTGCTATTTAAAATTTTCTTATTAAACTCGGATAAATGCAAAGGATCTTTTGAAATGAAAATAATGAGCCTTACACATAAAAACACAGATAAGCACACAAACACACAAAGCACAGATACAGACTGTAGACTGGGGAATCTGAAGGTTATATCTGAGTCAACAGCTGCATAAATCAAAATCAATATCAACATGAGACAGCAAGAATAATTAAATTATTAGATAAGATCTGACTTTTCAAACAATATTGCTTCAGTAATACTATGAAAGAATTACAATAGCATGAACACGTATCAGAGCAGTCTGTATAATGTAACATGAATGCTAAATAAACCTATAGACACAGTAAAAGTAGCAGAAACAGAGTAGACTGACAGAGGCTGGTGGTGTGTGTGGCCCCTACCTTTCTCACTGACTGACTCACTCTCTATCTCCACGTCCTCACAGCTGGTGTACTCCGGTGTGGTGGCCAGCTCCTCCTCTGAGCTGCTCAGTGACACCTGCCGCATCTTCCCTCCCTTTTTGGTTTTGTGGGGCTTTGGGGGTGGCGGGCGCACCGACTCCGACTGGTCTGAGCTGAGAGAGTCGTTCCTCAACATGCTCTCCATCTTCTCCCTCTTGGTTTTGCGGACAGCTGAACTGGGGTCCAAGTGGTGTTGCTGCCTCCTCATGGGATCCCCGCCTACACCCAGGTCTCCTCTCCGCAGGTCCCCAGATCGGTCACCCAGCACAGGGCTGCGGTGAGGCGTTGGGGGGCTGTGGTTGGAGGTTCTGTGACCTCCCAGGCCGGGACCCATGGGCCCTGGTGAGGAGCGGTCGACGGAGTAGGAGCGCTGTCCCACCATAGGCGGCCGGCGCTCGGTGAGATGCTGTCGGGACAGCCGGATGGGGCCAGGGTCATCCTGCTCCGTGTAAGCCAGGGAGACATCGCTGTGGCGGCGCTCGTGCCTCAGACGACCCACCTCAGCGTGCATCCTCATCTGCTCCTCGTAGGGCTGCGGCTTAACAGGATATCGTGCCAGGTTGGGGTCACTGCGATAGCGTGCCTGGAACTCCTCCTGGCGCTGCTGCTGGAGGTCATACTCGCTGGGCGGTCCATCTAGCTCCTGGTCCAGCGGGTATTCCTGGGAGTGCCAGCGTCCAGGGCCCCGTCGGTCCCGGTAGCCCATCCGTGCCGCATCCACGTCTGGGTACATGTGTGGGCCCCGCGGAGCCCGCCGAGGGTCCCCATCCCCATAGTCGGACGGTGATCTGGGCATGCCGCCGTCCGTCGGGGCATACTGTGAGTGGTCAACCCCCTCCCTTTGGTCGTATTTTTGGTTTGGATCCCTGGATGCAGATGGGCTTCGTTTCCTGTAGATCAAAGAGAGGGAATAAAAGAGTGGAATTTATTTTACTTTGAACTGGACGTTCTCTGATGCTTTTAATATACAGTACACATCATGATTTATTTCTGACCCAGTGTGTGCATATTGATGCTGCTCAATTACATTTCCAGTGAGCACACGATACATCTGCTTCTCTGCAAGTGGAAATATGAGGTATCAGTCAGACAGGAGTTTCTCAGTGCTTCATCACACCTCTCTGTGCCAGTCTACTGAGGCTGAAGCCTTCAGTCTGTAGTCTATAGCTTCACTTTACTTTGCCCTGCACTGCCTCGGCTTCAGTCCCTGTCAAAACCTAATGAGAAGCTGCTCTGTCTCTGTCACAAACACATACACAGGGAGAGAGAGAGAAATGAGAGTAAGCAGCAGGATGCAACACCACTCCCTCCTCTCACTGCAACAGACTCTATATGCTCTCAAACACGGCTGACAAATGCTCTTCTTTTAGCACATTTTACAGTTGGAAACCTTAGATTTTGCAGAAAATATGTGCAAAGAGAACACCTTCAGCTGACCTAATTGACCTAAAACAGTATGGCATTAACGCAGACAGCTTTACAGCCTGCATTCTCTTATATTAATAATATTAATTAATATTAATATTTGCAAAAAACAAGTATTCACATCAGAAAAACATACACTTGTGCAGATAAAGTCCTGTTGGATTATTTAATTTGATCTAGAGGGTCGCACACAGTCTTAACACAGACAACGTTGTATCTCTTTTCGTGCCATAGCCAATTTTTCATTTTCATTTTGATAGCATCTGATTATTTTGTTGATATAGGTGCTTAAATCATCATCATTTGCTATGCATTAAAAAACAACAGGATGACACAAGATTAACAACAGAGCCTGCCTGGATATGACCTGTTTGTATTTCCAAATGAATAGTTTGAGTCTGTGTGTGTGTGTGTGTGTGTGTGTGTGTGTGTGTGTGTGTGTGTGTGTGTGTGTGTGTGTGATGAGGAACAAGACTGTACTGAGAGCAGTGCATTGATAAATGATTCAGAGTTTCACAGATTGTATCTGTGTGCACAGTACAATGGATATTAAGGGATGTACAGAGACAATAACAATGTGTCTGAATTTATGAACCTCAGAGGAAGGTACCCATTTATTTATCCCAATACCAGAAGCTCCTGCTGGATAAAAAATCTAATGTCAATCAGAACTTACAAAAAAAACATTTACACACATTTATTAATATACACTAAAATCCTAACATGATTAAATTAATACCTTTTGTTTCAAACACTGTCTAAAATCATGTGTCCTGGTCGTGATAAAACAGAGTGGTCCTCTTTGTAAAGAGACTGAAGAGAAGTAAAATCTCGAAACAAGTACAGTTAAGCTGGAAATTGTGTGAAATAACTTGCTAAGATGAATTCTTTGAAGTATGGTTACAGTCAGCAGCCCCAGATTTCTAAAATTAGCTGTCACTCATTTTATCATTGTCCAATTGTCAGAGAGGAAACCGGCCAGGAAGTGGATGAAAAGCCTGGAGGAGGCTAACTGTGTGTTAATGCATTTATTCCATTGTTCAGAATCAATTATTCATAAGCCATTTTTCTCCTACATTTCTCCCACTTTTCCACCAAAATAATAATGACATTTCGGTGAGGAAAAAGCTCTGTGAAGCATTCCCTTAATTTTGTACGTGACAACTTTCCATAAATTTCAAAGGGCTTCATAAATCACTGCTGCCAGCTTTGCTCAGTGGCCAAGGTAAGGGCTCCTCACGTGTGATTGGCTGATTCACTGAACCACAGAGGAGGTTTGGTCCCTGCCTACTGGATCACAGTCTGAGGATAATGAATGTACAGACCACAAGACATCAGCACTGTGGTGAAGCACATACAGTGCGGGTAAAGATGCTTTTTGTGCTCTCTGTTTTGAATTTCTGTGTTGAACACTGAGTAATCTCACCAAAGAGAAGTGCCAGCTCCAGCGAGGGATAGAATGATGAATGTGCCTCGTGTATAGTTCATGAACTACTGTACAGTTAAAATATGAGCTGTTAAAGAGGGGCAGAAGTCGAACAATGAAGCAGCACGAATGTGTATTCCAGCAACACCAGTACATAAAAGCAAGATTTACTTAAGACTAGAAAGGATACAATAACACAATTGTTTGATCCAGTTCCAGCAAAATCCCAAAATACCACATAGCAACATTCTTACAAATACAGCATGTCTTTACTGATTTATTATTTCTGGTTCTTCCTTAAATCTGCACTGATCAATATTTTCATATCAACAACTGATCAAGTGACTATGTATATGTGAATTGTACATTGTGAGGACAAATGTCACGTGATTCCGCAGCGCCTCTCAGCTCTACACAGCATTTTAGCATCTTTTAGCTTATTGTTTTCTTCACGGTCCACAACTCACTCTCAGGCTGTTTTCAGAACAAGACTAGGTCCAAACCTTGTACATGGCTGGACCGCGTCGTAGGCTATTTGCGTTCTGTCTAGCGTCAGGTGGTTTCAGCCCTTTATCTGTTTGCTTCTCTCCTCCTCTCTGTGCTCACACATACAGTATTTTAATACAGCCGAGTTCCCAATAAAGCTGTTGTCATTTACATGTTTTTATGTTTCTATTGTCATAGAACGGAACAAGTTTGAAAAAGAGACTGAAACATGGCCCATTAAGACAACATTAACTTCCAAGCCATTAACAAGCTGCTGCTCTGTTGCTGCTAAAATCCTTATTTTATAACCAAAACATCGTCTGAAAAAATCACCATAAGTTGAAGACAATAGCTGTGCTGTAATTTCAGCTATATTCACTTGTTAATTAATCAGTCAGAAAGAAAGTTACAAGCTCAGCATAGGTCTGCCTGCAGAGGAAAAGCCCAACCTCATACTCGTGGGGCAATACTGGAAACTCTTCTACAGAAAGTAGCTAAGGTTTCTCCATAAAGTTGGTAGATGTTGTTGGTAAGTGCTTTTCTGAAAATAGTCCCTAAAGGAGCCTAAAAGTCAGTTCATTTAGCAACAAATGCTCTAAGTTAGCAACACACCCTGTAAACAATTCATTTTGCATGAGCAACGGCAAAAGGGGTACCTCCAACACTGGGCCAGCTGAGTGTTCATCAATCAGCAACATTCGCATTTATTGGGCTAGCCTCATTGTTGCGGTCCAGCAAAATAAAATAAAAAACCGACTGTAAGCTACCTGCCCAGCAGAGGGAGAAGGTTAGCAGCTAAAGACTAAGATATTTATGAAGATATTAATGCTGCTAATTAATGCTTGACATTTTTCATATCACGATTAAATCAAATGAATTCATGTGAAATTCTTGTTACTAATACTGAGAGTTAATATCACAGCTCTAGGGAGCTGTAAGCCAATTGCCAATCTTCCTATGAGGATACCAGTGTTGACCTGTTTCTGCTGGATGTGTGATTAACACAAGACAAGAACTGGTTGCTGCTGCTGTGACTTTGTTTTGGAGTCTACTTTCTCCATTTCTGCCATTAAAAGCTGTTTATGCAGTTTTGATAACTGTCTGCATTTCCAGTAAAAATGATACTGATACACTCACTAGCCAGGTAATAAAAGCCTATTAGGGATGTTTATCCGAGGACAAAAATGACTGGCAGGATACCACAGCAAGAAAATGCCACCACCTATTACATAACTTCATCCACAGCAAATCAAGATGAAAGATCTGACATGTGATTTCTTGCAAATGGAGTACAGAAACACTGCAGCAGTTGTAGCGCCAAAGATGTAATGGAAACACAACAAGAGTCTAATGAATATGCACTTTAATGAACAAATCCTCATTTCTAACAAAGACCTAGAGAAAGACAAAAGGACATTTGAAGTCTGTGATGTAGCCAGATCACACAAGTGACTTCTCCTTTCTGTTTCACATCAAAACAAATGCCTCCCATCACCTTAGCATCCAAACGCAGCCTCACGAGTGATTCAGACGCAGCTGGAGAAACACATGAGGGTTGTTGCATTATTCATGATCTGCTCCTGGACACTAACTGAGCGGTGCTTCATTCACAAATCCAAAGTGAAGCGGCAGCACAAATTATATGCTGGAGGAGGGGACGGGCGCCGTGACTTGGATGGGAGAGAACGTGGAGTAGGGGGGTTGGAGGAGTGTGTGAGGAGCATGAGAAACATCTCGTTATAATGACTTGATGATGATAGAGGGGTGTGTTAAGTATGTGCATGTGTATGGGTGCGTGCGTTCACTTGTGCATGCCTATGTGTTTGTGTCGGTGAGTGTGTTTTATGTGCTCTGCACTGGCTGCCTGAGAAATGCTTCACTTTGACTCTCAGTATGCCCTCAGGGCCTCAGGCTAATGTCTCCTCTGGGAAGTTGTGTTGAAATCCTACACCCGGAACACAAACATGCACATAGAACATGCACATGGCTACTACAACAAACGTTAACAAACTGCCCTTTGACGAGCTCTAACTCATCTTGACACAAGTATCACATTTCCCTGCTCCTGTTTAGGCTTGCATGTCCTTCCTGTCCAAACACAGAAATGTCTCTGGCAGCCAGCAACCACGCTGTTCTCCATCAGCATCTGCATCATGATGCTAACATTGTCAGCGCTAAACCAGCCTTCAGTAAGTACAACAGAGCGGTGGCGCAGCACTTAATTTCGCACTGTGCATTATTCCCACATTGCTCCAGCTGCCACGGCTACTGTAATAGCCTCTCTGCAGATAGTTCTGAGCCCCCCACAGCTCCGCCATGACACACTCTGCTGATCTTAGATTTGCATTCCATCCTCAGTGACACAGACAGAGAGGAAGAGAGGAGAAACAAAACGCGAGACGGGAGAGATGGGAGGGAGAAGGGAGGATATCATCCACAATGTGTGTGAATTAGAGGAGGCATGAAAAAAAGGAAGCAGAGGAGCTGACAGGTAACTGTCTCCTGTAGCTAAACATGCAGCTGGTATGCATGGTAAATTCCACCACACTAGTC